GCTATATCAGAATATTACCAGTATTCCATAGGGATTTTACATGGATTAAATAATGATAAGCTTATTAAAATGTAATGGAAATATTTGGGGATTTTTCCTTCTTTTGAAATGTTAAGATTTAGACTGATTTTGAGACACAGCAACAAAAAATCATTAACATTGAGCAATTTTGGCTTGAGCTAATTTTAAGAACAGCTGATATTTAAAATTTTAAAAGGTGAAAACATGAAATCCCTACACCAAAAACCTTTAAAATCTAACAATAAAAAATGTGTATGTTTAATTATTCTGCTCCTGCACATTTGATATTTTAAAATTAAGAGTTATTGGAGTAGACTTAGAGGAAGCTGGAAAATTTAAACATCAAACATTTGGCTCAGTCAAAAAGGACTAAATATGCAAAATGCCAGCTGATTTCAGCAGTATTTTTATTTTTTACTGCCTTTTGCAACCATAAACATTTTTTTAAGCTACAAAACTTGGGACACAGCAGATAAACAAGAAGACACCAAAGTGTGATGATTTCTTTGTTCAGTTTTGTATATCAAAAATAAAACCTGAAGTTCTCTGCTCAGTGTCCTTGATTTCAGCATTTGGGACAAATCAGGGTCTGATTTTTCTTCCCTTGCAGGTGGAATTCCAAGGAGTGGTGATAGAGCCAGGAGGGTGAATTTCTCATTTCACAACAGTTTCAGATTCATGTCAAGTCTCTGGAAACCATCCAGGAAAAGGGATGGTGAAAGGCTTCAGTTGTACTGCTGGGAGGAGCAAATGGTTCCATGTATTTCACCCAAACAAATTTCTAGGCTATCTAAAAAAACAAAGCAGAATCCAGTGTTTAAGGATTGTCAGGCAGAGTGAGGAGAAATGAATTTGAACCTTTAAATCAGATTTACTGCCACAAATGTGTGCCAAACACAGAGAGAAAAATTCAGTTTTATTTCTGACAGCTTGGCTGTGATTTCCTAGAGCTGTCCCAGGTCCTGGGGAGCAGCAGGTGAGTGATCCCAGCTCATTTTCCTCCTTAGATCCTGCCCTGTCTGTCCTGTCCCCCTCTCTGCTGTTCCTGTTCTCCAGTGAACATTTGGGGATTCTTTGTTGGGAGAAGCCACTTGGAGATGAGCAAAATTTATTAAGGAAATGTCAATTCAAGGGTCATGGCTGAGGCCGAAAGGGGAATAAATTAATTCCTCTTATTTTAGCACTTCTCCCTGCTCTTTGGAGTCATGAATCCCAATCCCATTCCCAAGTGTTCCTCTGCCCACATCCCAAACTCCAGCCCCCATTTGGAATTTCTGGCCCAGCCTGGAGGCTGGGTCAGCACCAGAACTGATGGCACAGCTGCACTGGATCACAATATATTGCATTTATTTGGCCTGGCTTTTGTTTAAACTGGAAGAAGGGGAACATTAACCCTTTACTCAGCTTTTTCAGGTGTCCAGACTTGGAGTAGGGGATGTTCAAGGTGGGTCAGGAGCAAAGTGGTTCATCCTGTCCAGTGGGAGGGCAGGGACTCCCCAGCAGTGAATATTCCTCAGTAAATCTGATGGGGTCATGCCAGTGCAGGTTAATATATTGTCACTAAATCTGGGTTATTAACCTCCCTGTGAAAAGTACAGTTGCATCTGCAGGGCCTGAGCAAAATGCACATTTTAACTTATTTCATTGCCACTTTGTTATTCCTTCCAAAGAATTCCTGGTTTTCCAAGTGATATTTGCATCTTATTTTTTTGGCTCCATTCTTAAAACCTAATGTTTTCAGGGTAAGGAAATCAGGTGCATTCTGAGGCTGACTTTTAAATGGTTTGAAAAATTAGGCAGCATTTCTAGTGCCTTAAAACTGGGTGACAGAACAAAATGAAGCCTTGAGACTAAAGTTTAAATACTCTGAGCAAGCTTTTTTCTAATTACTGTAGCTTAATACTAGAGGAGTAAAAAAAGAAATAAAATCAATATATTTTACTTAGATGAGTTCTCCAAGTGCCTGGTACCACTGTGCTGACTGCAAAATGTAAGTTTGGTAAGAAGTGACCAAAAATTAAACTGGTAATTTAAATTTCTCTGTGTTTTCTCATGTTCTGTGTGCAATTGCCACAGCACCTTAGAATGCTGATCACTTGTAGTAATTGTCTTTGTAATTAGGCTGAAATATCCACTTTGCTGTTTTCTACATGAAAGCACTGAAATACTGAGGAGATTTTAGCCAAATGAAGTTTTCCCTGAGTTTCTGATGATTTTCCATGTGCAGATACATGGAAATGTAAGGCTCTTGTTCCTGGATCAGTCCAGTTTTTATGCCAAACACTGAAAATTGGGATTAATCCTGATGGATTAAACAATTAATGTCCCTGGTGGTGACTGCCAGTGGAGCTGTGGCTGTTTGCACAGACACCACAATTCCTTTGGAGTTCCACCAATTTGAAAATTACAGCCTTAAATTCTAGTTACAGTGCTGCTGTGGTTTCCTGCAGTCTTTTTGAACGTGAGCAGGGAATCAGCTGCAATTGTGACCTGCAAAGAGATAATCCAGGCTCAGACAGGCTGTCACTCACCTTTCCTCTGCAACAAAGTGAGCAGGTAGCACTGAGACATCTCCTTAATGAAGTGCCTTTGGTGCCTTTTATCTGTGTGAAGGACAAAATTACCAGGATTCTTGCTTAATGATGGTGTCATTTTTTTTTTTCCCTCCCCCAGTGTTTACAAAAAAAAAAAATTATCCAGCAACATGAAAGACTCTTCAGACAGGCTGTCACTCACCTTTCCTCTGCAACAAAGTGAGCAGGTAGCACTGAGACATCTCCTTAATGAAGTGCCTTTGGTGCCTTTTATCTGTGTGAAGGACAAAATTACCAGGATTCTTGCTTAATGATGGTGTCATTTTTTTTTTTTCCCTCCCCCAGTGTTTACAAAAAAAAAAAAAATAAATTATCCAGCAACATGAAAGACTCCCAGCAAAATGGTCTGTGTGGTTAAATTATAAAACTCTGTAGGGCTGTAACATTCAGGTCTGTATTTAAAATGACAGAAAAACGTGAAGTTACATCAGTAATAAAAGTAAATTCTGAAAAATGCTGCAATGACTGCTGTGAGATTTCAAATAGGTTTTTTTTTCAGCTTTTTTGAATCCAGAAATCTGATTTTTTTTTTTCCCCCCAAATCTGTACCAGGGGTTTTCTGACTGCAGTTTGAGGGGGCTTTCCTTGTTTTCCAGGATATTCCCAGCACACCCGTGAGCACATCCCTGACCTTGCTGTCCAGCAGAACCTGCAGATGGGGAGGCTCTGTGACATCCTGGGTACGTGCTCAGCCCTGCTCTCCGGTTATCCCCCAGCTGGCCCTGAAATAACCCAGCACAAGGACTTCATTTGGGTATTAATATTAATAATATTAAATGTTAATATGAAACACAGAGCAGGGAGAAGCAGGGAAGGAGCTGTGGCATCTCCTGGCCCTGTTACCCATTAGAAATCCTGCTGCTTCCTTGCCCTCTGTGGGTGGAGCAGCCTCCTCCCGAGAGCTGCTGAGCAGCACAGAGCTTCAGTGCTCTCCAAAATGAGGGGCTCACACAGAGACCAAGATGTGCTGCAAAAGAGCAAACTCTTATTTAAACCCTTTTTTTCCTGCCCTTTTAAATCAGCAAATGAGGCAAAAGGCATCTATTTAAAAGTTTGGGTTTTTTTTTTTCCTGACTGGCTTCTTTTAAGCAAATCTGGGAAGGATATTTAGCAGTGACCAACTGCACTGGCTGCCTGGAATGACATATTTTACATGATTCATGTATATTTCAGGATCATGATTGTTTTATAAATGCCATTTAGTAAGTTTGGAACAAAAATATATTAGATCCAGAAATTTACAATTGCCTAAAATAATAATGTAATTGCCTTTATATATTATCTAGGCACTAATATTGGGGGTTTTTTCCACTGTACTGTTTTATTTTTTTCTTTTTTGAAGATGGATTTTTTTGGCTGTTAAATGATAGAAACTTAAAGGGACAAAGTCACGCATTAAAGAGATTTTTTTTCTCATTTCTGAACATGAAAATTTGTTTTGCTGTAAAATAGACCACAAGGAAGGTACAAACTAGTGAAATATTAACTAAATTATGGACCGGATCCTGTGCTTTACCTGTGCCTGGCAGAGGAGCACTGAGATTTTCCGTTTTGGTTTGGTTTTTCTTTGGAAAAGCAGAGATTTCCTCACTGTTTGTGACCTCCTGTGGGTTAAGCTGTCCCTGGAGCCCCCCTGTCCTGAGGAGACTTTATCTCTCTTTACAGGGCAGTGCTACAGCAGTGAAATGTGCTGCAGCTTCTTATTCCCCAAATTCACTCCAGCTGTCAGTTTTTCACTTGAGTATTGACTGGTGAATAGTGCTGAACTCTTCCATTTGTTATTTTTTAAAAGTTATCTGATAAATAATTTAAAGACTCTCCTTGTGGGCTCTGTGCTACTTCAGTGCTTCAGGTGAGTTCTGGCCTCACTTTTTAAATGTGGATTATTTCCCTGCAGCTCTGGCAAAACAAAGTCAAGCAATGGGATCTCTTATTCACTTCCCAGCACTTGGCTCAGGGTTCCCTTGTCCAGTCCTTGCTTTGCTGCAGTCCTTCCATGGAATAGCAGTTATCCCTGGCATGTAAAACAATAAATAAATAAAACAATGCAAGGCTTCCCACTGATTTGGATCAAAATCTTGGAGTGCTCTTTGCCTATTGACGCCTCAAGGCCCATTCATTAATTAGCTTATCTATTAGTATTAATATTTTTAAATATTAATACTTTTATTAATACTATTAATATTAAATTTTTCCCCAAAAATGGGTTTTAAATTAAAAAATTTAAATAATTTAAAAATTAATACAATTTTCCCAAACTGCCCGTATTACAGATTTTCCTTCTGTGAGGACCCAGCCCTTCAGCCCAAGCTGTTTTGCATGAGGAAAAGCAGATTTGCACACCGTGCTGCCCTGCACACTGCCATGCCCAGCAATGGTTATTAATGATGCCCCACCCTGAGCTTTTGTGTGGGCAGCACAGGAGCAGGAACAGCCCATGGAAAATCCAGGCAGCGTAGAAAATTGCAATTTCCTCAGCTTTCTCCACTGAATGGCTCAGTTGTATAATTTAGTGGCATTAATGGGATATATTTTTCAAGCAGTTCCATTCCCATTGATGTTAATGGGAGCTGGGCTCACAAATCCCCCTGCACCACTTCCCAAATCCTGCCCCAATATGTTCTGCAGATGGAACCCCAGGAAGCAGCTCTTCCTTTGGGTCACTGCCCTGTCCTCAGAGACATGCTGAAGCACGGCCAAAAGCCCTAAGGTTGGGGGTGAAACCCCATTTTTGTTCGTTTGCAGTGCGTTTTGAGGAGAGCTGTTGGTGGGCAGAGGGCTGGGAATGCTGGCACTGCTGCTGGGAGTGCTGCACCTTGCTCCCAGCAGTGAGCACTGTGCCCCTTTGTTTCAGATGCCAACGTGGACGTCATCTACATCTGCCCCCTTGCTCTGAGTGAGGAGTTCCTGCAGTATTACCATAAACTCCTGGGTCTGCAGGCAGCTGTTAGATCTGGGAAGCCCGAGGACATGGCTGACCTGCAGGACAGGTTCAAAATTCTCACCCCTGAAGCTATAAACAGCTTCCCCGTGAGTTTGTCTTCTAATTACTACAGCTTGAGGGATGCAGTAAAATTAAATTGGAAATTTTATAACTTGCAACGCTCTGGTACACATCAGTGAAATATTATTGCAAGTTTAAGGGCTTTACTGATTAGACTACTAGTTAGAGCATTGGAAATAAATATCCTGGTTTAGCTTTATAGACTTGCTTGAGATTGTCCTAGATTGGCTATTTGTAGGCTCTTGTCCCTTCTGACTCTGTGCTTGGGACTGGGAACTTGATAGATTTATATCTCTAAGCAAATCATAGCAATAAACCATTCTTATTACTCAAACTTTATCTCTGGCTAGCCCAGCATTCAATCATTGCTGTGTTTGCAGTGGCTCTTGCAACTAAATCCAGTGCAGAGCTCCTTAAAGAACTAAGCTTAAACAAAGTTAGGTAATAATACAGAAATCTGAGTTTCAGACAGATCAGAATAATATATAAATATGAGCTCTAATAATACAAAAGTGATAATTCCAGAATAATAATTAATAACAGAGAAATATTAGTTCCAAACCTGTCAAGTCAGGTTTAAATCCATGTGCTAAAACATATTCTAATTAATGTACAGTGTGTACAGTGTTTCTGAAAATGCTGCAGTGCAGTGGAGACTTCACAGTGAACAATAGTTTGATATTCTAAATATTAAACCCACAGTGTCTTGGCTGGGATTTGATTCTTATCAAAGTTTGTGGCACATTTAGTGGCTTTACTTGAAGCCTTGCTGCTGATTTTGCTATTTTTTTTCTTTTTAAGTTGCACTTTGACAGTCATAGCAGGTTATTTTCTGGATGCTGAGTTATTTTTCCAATAGTAACTCCCAACTATGAATTAATGCCAAAATCTGTCAGGAGAATGGGCAACATCAGATTTTATGTGAACCAGGTTGAGGTAACCTGTGGCTCTTCAGTGCCATTCACCTGTTAATGTGCCAAATCTGCCTTGTTTTCATTTACCATGTGTTCTTTACCATATAATAATGAATATTTTTCATGAATACATCCTCTGTGTGGAGAGGAATCTGCTCAGAACTGCTCCTGGTCATCCCTTGGCTTCAGTGCCAATTTGGGCTGTGTAAGGGTTGGAGCTTTGTAAGTTCTTTTAAAGGATCTTTCTCCTGGGTTATTGAATAAAAAGCTTTTATTGCACCTAATGGATCGAAATTTATTCCCAATCAATGCAAGTGTGGCTTGAAGGCCACTTCAGAGGGCTCCTTTTAGCAATTCCAGAGGCACAAATCATCCCTGCCTGTTTTCCCAGCTGTTGTGGTGGAACTGGATGGGAGGAAAATGTGTGGAAAAGGCAGAGCTGGTCCTGATCCTGCCCCTGAGCTCTGGCCAGCTGGAGGCAGCTTTGCTCTCCTGCTGATCCTGATGCCAAGGGCAGATCTGGGATCTTGGGAAGCTGAAAACAAAACAGGTTTGAGAGCCAAGAACTTTGGTTAATCCCATGTCCCCTGTTCCTGCTGGAATCCCTGAGTTCTGCTTTTCCCTGCTCTCCCTCCCACTTCCATATATCCTGGCAGCTCTAGCACTCTCAAAAAGCAGGAATGAAGCAGCTTTTACAGCCCGACCTCCTTAATTATCTGTAAAATCCATTATTGAGGGACACAAAGCAAATCTCCTCCCTACAAGGCCACTGTGGCCCCAGGCTGGGAATGGATGCTGTTCCCTGCATGCAGAACTCTGGGATGAGCCAGCTCAGGTAAAGGGACTCCATGGATCACAACTTCACATGTCTTGGCTTTAAAACTGATGCAAGGAAAAGGGCTCCAGGTGACTTGTTTGCTGTTCTTTTCATCCTGAAACTTCTGTAATTCTTTTTTTTTCTGCTGGAACTCTGGGGAGTGTCCCATTCCTGCTGTCCTTGCAGGGTGTCCAGCTCCTTCACAGAGAGATCTGGGCACTCTTTGGAGCTGTGTTTGGGGTGAGAAAGCACCAAGGGACTGACAGAAGGAGATTCCTTGTATTCTTTTCCAGCACCATCCTCTCTATCCCAGCAATGAAATCAGGATTTCTGCTTCAGTCCCTGGCAATGAACATGCAGGACTTGGGAGGAAAATATTCTGTGTTCTTCAGTGCTGGAAATCCCTGGCAAATCCAGGATTTACATTATCCTGAAAATATAGGGATACTCTCCTGAGGCCTAAATGAGATGAAATCTCAATAGGAAGATAATTTTCTCCTTGTTGGGATTATGATTTTTTTCATGACAGTTTATTGCAGTGGATTTCTTGTGCAATTTCTCCATCCCTGTCTCATCCTCAATATATTTTTGGGAAAATAATTGGAATATATGCAGGCCATGCATGGGGTATGTTGTTTAAAACATTTTGGAGGTTTCACCTGCCATGAGTGATATTTTAATTTAAATTCAGAGTTTGTAGGCTATGCCATGAGCTGCTTGTTCAGCAATAGATCTTTCTTGGGGAAGATTGGAGAAATTCCTTCCAAAAAGTTGGAGCCCTTGTGTTTTAAGAAAAAAAAAAAAAACAAAAAAACTACTACAGAACTGCTCCCCTGTCTTTAAGTGGTCCTTTAGATCAGCAGTCAGAGCTCCTGTGAAATGGAAATGTGCATCCGCAGTAATTTAATGTAAGCACTGAAAGCTTTTGTAAATCAAAGTGTTTTATTCTCAGAGAATCACTTCAAATACCCTGAACTGTATGTGAAATACATTCCCTGCTGTAGGGAGGGGGGTTCTTCATTTTTCTATTGATTTTTAGGAGCTCTGGAGTTAAAGCATGCCAGGAGTGTTGCTGAGATGAATCACTATTATCCAAAGGCCAGCAGCCTCTGTGCCTGACAGAAGGATAATTCCACACGGATCAAATAAATACAGATGTGTAGTAATTAGTTCTATTCCCAACGAGGCCATTCCCAACCCACTAAAGATGTGCACGATTATGGAGCCTCACCCCAACAGCTTTTATCAATTTAAACTGCTAAGCTACAGGATAGGTCATAACCCAGCCTGCTATTAATAATGTATTTATTGTGGGCAACATTAGGGGGAGGAAAACAAACCAACTAAAAACCCACTTTTCATAAGAATCCATGTTCTCTTTTTCCAGGAGCATCACATGTGCCTGGCCACTGTGCTCAAGTACAGCCCCAGGACCTTGCAGAGGCTGCAGCTGCTGCTGCAGGGCAGGGATGCCTACGTGGTCGGGGGTGTTCCCCACCTGGATGATCTGGCTGTGGCTGACCAGCTCCAGGTGCCACTTTTGGGCCCAGAGCCAGCAGTGGCTCAGCTCTACAGCACCAAGTCTGGCAGCAAGAGAATCTTTGCCAGTGCTGGAGTGCCAACCCCTCCTGGAGAGTGGGACATCCACAGCAGGGAGCAGGTGAGGATCTGGGTCGTTCCAGTGACTCCATTGATGAGACCCTCATCAAGGAGCAATAGTTTTATATTGCAAATATTAAACCTACAGTGCCTTGGCTGGGATTTGATTTTTAGCAAACTTTGTGGCACATTTAGGGGCTTTGCTTGAAGCCCTGTTGCTGGTTTTGCTATTTTTTTTTTAACTGAATTTTGGCAGTCGTAGCAGATTTTTTTCTGGATGCTGGGTTATTTTTTTTAATAGTAACTCCCAACTATTTTTCCAGTGTTAACTCCCAAACCCTCGTGGGTTTGAGCAAGTCGTGGGTGAGGTTGGGTCCTTTTCTGGCTCAATTAAATGCAGTTTGTGCCCAGGGCAGGAAGGAACACAATTGCTCTGGGGTTCTTCATGGGCTTGAGGATATAAAAATGTTTGGTCCAATATTTGAGGCAGTTTATGCTGGTACCCCATGGGTGAAGTCATGAAATGAATCCATTTTACCAGTGACTGAAGATGCACATTTTCCAAAAATGCTTGTTCTAAGGGGAGGAAATCTCCCCTTCCATCAGCCTGTTCCCACTGAGGCTCACTGAGCATCTTTGCAGTTTTACTTTGCAGCCTGTCATTGCTAAATTCATCTCTTGTTGGCATGACCAGTAGGAAAATAACAAAACCCTATTGAACTGAAATTACGAGGCACAAGAGGTTTCTGTGCTTTCATTTTACATGTTTATTTTGCAGCCAGTTCCTCAGTATTTTATTCTCTAGGCTGATTCTGCAATTTGCAATGATATGTCTAAGTATTTATTTTTAAAAACCATTTTTATGGTGGTTACTTCTCATCCAGGAAAATAATCATTGCTAAGGTTTTTTGTAGGTGCTCCTGCTTCTTCAAGAGGCTTTTAACATTGCTTTAGTTTTTATTAATCACCTTTAGCACTGAAACAGTCTAAGCTACACAAATCCATTGCTACTTCTCCAGTAGATGAAATAAATATATGATCAATGACCTGCAAAACAGCTGTTTGATTTATTTGATTCACGTAAATTATTTAACAATACTTCTGGTTCATCCTACAGGGTTATGGAATTTCTCCTTCTGTTGTTTGCTTGTATGAAATATTGACATTTTAGGTTAAATAATCAAAGTGAGGTGACACCATGGTAAAGCACAATTCAATTTTCACTTAAAGATAGCACATAATTCTTTGTGATTGGTACAGTCCTTACAGGATTATTGATCCTTTTCATTACTGTAGGGGGAGCCCTCAAGAAAAACACATTTATGTGATTCTCAAAAGCCACAAATGGAACACATGTAATTGTATTTTAGGTCAATCTTTAAAAAAAAAAAAAAGAAACAAAAATCCCTCAAATTACTCTGTAAAATGTAGAAGACTCCAGCCAATGCAACAAGATCTGAGAATACTTTTACCAGGTTCAAAGTCATTTGCAGTTTCTAAGAAGCTAATTGCATCCTGCACCAGCTGGGCAAAAGGCATTTGAAAGCCATTTCAATCTGTGTACATACACAAATAAATAATTAGCATTTTTATAAAGCCTGCCTGCTACCTCCTCCGTGCATTTATAACCATGGAATGCACTCTCCAGTAGGAGAATTTCCCAGCTGTTTGGGCTGGTGCTACCCTGGCACATTTTTGCAAACAGCATCGTCCATCCCACGTTGTTCCCTGTCACAAACAGTCATGGAGCACCTGTGGAGATCCAAAACCTCAGACAAAACCAAAAACCAACACCTGGGCAGGCAAATTCCTCTGTGCAGAAAACAGGGATGTCTTTCAACCCATACCCAAACAGCTGTGACAACACAAACGCCTCTGAGAAAATGAACCCAAATTGTTGGATTATGCCCTTTCCTGACCCAGAGATGGGGCAACTGAGAGGCTTTTTAAAATTTTTATTCAATTTTCAGACAATACAGATGTCATTGCAATTAGAAGCCAACTATTTCCTAATTAAAATACATTACAAGTGTTTCTTGGCCTATCAGCTTTTGCCAGACCACGCTGTAAATGCCTTAAAGCCAATCATCTAAAATTAATGCATCTTTCATAGTTCTATTTTTCTAAAATATCCAGTTTTATTTGTAAGGCCACCCTTTAAGGCCAACCTTTAAACTTGTTTCTAGTTCCATTTCTCTCTCCACAATGTCTGTCCTATTCCATTGCATTTCTAAGTCAGCATTTGTTACCTCAAGGTTTGCATACAGGTGTGTGGGTCTTCTGTCAGGCTTTGAGAATTCTCTACAAATCCATTTCCCACATTTTCCCCTCTTTCTTGGACAGAAAAAACTTCTTGGATGGTTTTGTTCATGGATTGCCATGCACAGTGAAGTACCCAGGGCATTGTCACTGACATTGTCACTGTAATAATGTATAGAAACTTAATTTAATAATTACAATATAGGTAATATTATACAGTATATATTATCTAATATAATATTTATATATAAATTTATAATGATCAATGTATGTAATCTTAATAATCAATGTTTATAAACTTAAAGCTCCTTTAGCCAAGATGCAAAACTCTATCTTTCAAATAAGCCATGTGAGCCTTCTGTCAGGCTTGGAGAATTCCCTACCAATCCATTTCCCACACGTATTTAGGAAACCAAATGTCAAGCCCAAACATTTGGGAGCATTTTGGTGCTGTCCCAGTCCTGTGAAGGTTTTGTGTCCCTGCTCTGCAGCTGCTCCGTGCCCTCAGCCAGCTCGTCCTGGACAATTTGGAGGTGCAGCGCTGGCTCTTCAAGGTGGACGATGGGCGTGCAGGAGATGGCACTGCCTTCTGTGATGTCACTTCCCACCTGGAATGCTACCCCTGGATCCAGAGGGAACGGCAGGAACACGGCCCTGAGGTGTGGAGTGAGAGCCAGGCTCGTGTGAGTAACAGAACTGCGGCTTCTGTGCTGTCTTGGCTCTTTCATGTCCCCTGAGGTCCCTCCTCGCTGTAAAGCTCCTCCCTGAGCCTTCATCTGAAGGTAAATGTTGATATCACAGCCCAGCCTAGCTTCACAAAGCAGCAGTAATTCAAATAAAACAGGGAAACATTCCCAAATATTCCATTCTAAAATATGAAGGAATGCCTGGCAGCCAGCTGTGGAAGGACTTGTGTTGTAACACTGCCTGTGCAATAATGGACAGGGGTTTACACATTTTTTTGGTATAATTTTTTTAATAAGGACATCTAAAAGAAAGTTTATAGGCAGCATAGCATAATCTCCATAGAAAATTGGAATTCTTTCCATAGAAATTTGGAATTATTGAAACAAAGATTAATTGGGATAGGGATTAAAATAGCTGAACACCACTAATTTGAAATCATACAAACTGATTGCTTTTTCAGCTGCTTTTCTATGGATTATTTTTCCTGGATGTTTTGCCTCATTAATAACTTTTAAACCTGTGTGAGACAATACTTGTAGGTTTTGGTGATCATTAAACTCCTGCAAGTTTTATTACCAGGGGTGTTCAGGTAAGGAGAGCCATCTATAAAAATCTAACTGGGGGAAACATTAGAGCATGAACTCAGGCACTCCCCAGGATTGAGAGGCTGGAAGATGATGCATTTTAACTGCAGAAAAATCCATATGAAACCACACTTCATTATTCTGGCATTCCAAGAACTATTTGTAGTTTAAATATTCATTGGTATTTAAATGTGTTAATTTCAATAAGCATTTGATATTTCTGTATATCTTGCCAAATTCATTCCTAATGTAATGGTTTTAAAGCCAGAAGGAATGTATCCAGAAAAATTGTTTAATTTACATAAACTACTCATTATAGCTCCTCTGATTTTTTTTAATTCAATCAAAACGGGTTTGAAATTTGGGGTTGATTGAATTATATTGTATATTAAAGTTTCAAATTGGGCTGATTACGGTTCTGCTGCGTTTGACAGATACAAAACAATTCCACATTATAAAACAGAGTTCCTGATAGAAAGCTGAAGGGATAATTCCTCTGATGTGCAAGTCAGGCAGGATGAAGCAGAGCCCTGAAAATCCACCCAGTGGGACACAAAGCTCAGGATGTATCAGGGCCTGCTCCCAGCCCCTGAGTCAGGACACAGCCAGCAGCCAGCAGCTCTACCCCTGATACCAGTGACATTCCCTGTTTCTGTGCCTTTTCATTCTTTTCCCAAGTGCTTCTGCATAAAGGCCACAGTGAGCCCTGACTTCCTTTGGTTTTCCTTTTTACCCCATTTACCTCGAGCTTGGATACAACCAGTGAGAATCCCTTAAATGCAGACACATGTTGGAAGTTGGGAAATGAACACGGAATAATGAATTTGATCTCATTTCCCAGAGTCAGCAGACAATTCCCAGCCAGTGCTGACGTGGGCTTTGCCAAAGTGTTGTCCAGAGAAGCTCTGGGTTCCTGATCCCTGGAAGTGCCCCAGGCCAGGCTGGACAGGGCTTGGAGCAGCCTGGGATGGTGGGAGGTGATGGAATGGGACTAAAGCAGCACAGAACCTGAAAAATATAGAAGCTAAAACCTGAGGCATCAGGATGATCCTGAAAATCCCTGCCAATCCAAACCTTCCTGTGACTCCAAGGTGTGGAGCTTGCTGCTGTTTTGAGCACCTTGAACATTTGCTCCAATTTCCCTGCCTTCCACGTTAACCCTCTTTTGAAATAAGGACTGGCAGCCTCCCCGAGCCTCAGCAAGGAGAGCAGGGGATTAAAACACTCCTTTGTCAGGGAACACCATTGTAATGATCCACATTTAAACATCAAAGCAGGAGTTTGTGCTTTCATGTCCTGGTGCAGTGTGGGGACCTGGTTCCTTTGATAATGAAGACGTCGTGTCACTGCCACACACAAACGGATGCTGGCAGGTTATTAAAAAATTCAGCTTCTTGATGAAAGACTATCCTGCAGGCTAGGAGCACAGCGAAAAGCCTCTCCATTCTGGTGGAATTATTAGAAATGAGAACATGACTGTAAGCACTAAATTATGGTAATACTTACAAATAGCATCATTTGCATAGCAGTTTAAGACAGCCACCCAGATTTTCCTCAGTGGCGTGGAGTAGGCAACAGATTAAAAATAATGGACTTGGTGAGTTTGAACTGTGTGGAAATCTATTCCAGCTAAAAATGAGCCTGATTTTAGATTCCTCAATGCAAATACAACGTTGGGGCAGGCCCAAATGCATGACAGGATTATGGATGGGTTTCACCTTGTTAACTTAATGCAGCCTCTGAGTTATCTGAACAATTAATTTGCAACTGCAGGAAGGGCTAAATTCACAAACTGCAAAATGTCTCCAAGTCCATCAGCCCCCTCTGCACTGCTCAAGTCTGTCAGCAGAGGAATTTCATCCTGAGGCCCAGACTCCAGTGGCTCAATATCCAGAGAACTGCTGTACTTTTGGCACTGGTGGGGTTGTTTGTGGAGACGTCTTCCAGTATGGAAAAGAACATCAGGGTCTGGCTCTAGCTGTGCACAAAAAAAAAAAAAGAAAATAATAAATGCAGTTAATCTGATAGGGAGACTCAGTATCTTGTAGGGTGAATGATGATTGTAGGGAACAAATAAATTCATTTTTAACATCTGCAGGTCTTCTGTACTAATTCAAGCTTCAGTCACTCCATGCATAGCACCAAAAGTGGTTTTGCTGCTGTAAGGATAAGTGAATCATTTTTTGGAATATCTAGATGAAGATATAATCCTTAATCCTTATTAATATATTGTATAGCTGGGCATCTCCTTCCTGCTCCAAGTCAGCAGCTCAGATTCTGGATAATCTCACCCAAACTCTTTTGGATCCTTGCTGGGAGACTCTAAATTCATGGGAAATTCTTATTATTGCTGACACAACCTCTGGCTTAGAGGGATTCTGACTTCTTGGAGGCTGGGAGAGTATCCAAGCAATGGATATGCTCACTCTGTCTTCATATTTTCCTTTTTCTTAGAACTAAAACTCCCAAAACTCTTCTCTTTTAGGGCCAAGAGAATATCACCTTCCTGTTGGCATTGCCTTTTTTCTTCTTTTAACAACTCCCTTTATATAAATAACACAGGACTGCAGGATCCCATCCTCTTGTATAACTGTGGAATTGTAGTAAATCACTAGATTAAATTACTACTGAAATTAATTTTAGAATTATCTTTTATTACCCTGTGACTTAATTAACCACCAGGGCCAACAACATGATGTGAGTTTATCTAGCAGCAAGTCTGAAAATAACAAAGATCAGGCTGGAGACAAAAAGAAAGGGATAAAGAAGAGCTGAAAATCCAGGGATAGAACAAGCCACAGATAAACAAGCAACAAATACTCTCTGAATAAACCCTTAAAACTGGTGATAGCTACACAACCATTTCAAAACTCTCCATCAAATATCTGTCAAAGGGGAAAAAAAGGATTTAATGCACTTGTGCAGCCCCTGCTAGAAAAATGTTTGGGTTTTACTCCTCCAGTTGAGTCAGAGGATTTTGTCTCTGTTTCTTTTCCTTACAGGCAGTTAATTAATTCAGTTAATTTATTACAATGAGGAAAGCAGAACCTTTTCAAAAGGTGACAAATCTGGACAACTTTTGGTCTGAGTCATCTAAAACAAGATAGATGCTGCTTGCAGGGTTTTGCATTGATTGCTCTTAGGAGATAGAAATGCAAAATGCTGGATGTTCCTTTAAATGAAGCATTGTTTGGTCAGCTTTTAAAAGTCCTGAAGTTATTCACAGATGAATTTTGGGATTAGGTGGAAATCAGGAATAGTGGGGAGCAGGTTTTGTCCTGCTTGGATGAATTCCATGTCCTGAGATTTCCACATCTTATTTCTTTACTGAGTTCAGGAACTCAGAGTAGGATGTGCGTGCAAACAAATCAGGATAAAACCAATCCATCAAAAATGTAATTTCAGAAACCTGCCACTGCCAGCACACTCCTTTCTGACCCCCTTTGAACACAGCAGAGCTTCCTCACACTGCTTTTTTCTGAGTTTTTGTTAATTGATCTTGGTGTAACACCTGAAGCCCACGGAGGGGGTTCCTAGGGAAGGAGCCAGCTGTGCACGTGCAATTGCAGGTGTGGTATTTTTCCTGCCTGAAGAGGGCCAGAAACTCTGACAGATCCCCAGAAAATGCATTTCCTGCATTTTAACATTTCTTCTAACCGATATCATGTTTAACAGGGAAAGAAAAGGAGCCCAAAGACTTCAGGAAGAGATCAACGATGGAAGGGAGTAGTGCTGGAGGTTTCTTAGTGTGAGCAGAGCAATTATTCCAAATAATTGAAATATTCATTGCACCTGCAAACAATGCTCAGTTTATTAAGATTATCTGCCTGTGATGAGCAAACCTGAGGTGAAATAAAGCAGAATTGTATCCCTGGGTTTGGTGAAATGCAGAATATCATCCCTGAACCACAAGCAGGGGCTCTGCAAGCTGTTGGGCTGTGTGTCCTATTGATTTAATATGCTCCTAATCAGTACATAAAGCTATAGGCCTGCAGTGTTAATTTTTCATATGCTTACAAAGTACCCTTTGATTTTCTGTCACGCGTTAATTACAGCGTTTTGCCATTAAATAGGAAGCTTTGTGTAAACTAATTACTAGGTAATCATTGTCTACCGCCAGCGTGCTGTTCCTACCTTTTATTTTATTCGAGAAATGCACAGATCTCAGTCTGGAACCACTATACCTTCCAGCCATTAGCTCTCACTAATTCATAGCATTATTGTGCTAAGATTGTAGGAGTTGTAATTGTTGTGGTATCAGTGCTGTTAATTACCGGAGTAAACAGTTGAAATGGTGCCAAGGTCTATTGTACAAGGCAGAGGAAAAGGAGGTTTAAATGTTACTTCCACCATCTGGGGACTGGAGGAGAGGCAAATGCTAGAAAACAGCAGTGAGGCAATATCAGAACTTCAGCTCCAGGGTTTGAGGCCATATGGATCCAGAATATTTTGAATCAATTGAATTTAAGTGCCAGTTTGTAGCAATAACAGTGGGGAAGGAGAGGATAAAGCAGGAGCACTAAAGAAATCTGAAATGCCTTAATGTTGGTGCAGCCAATAAAATGCCTGCTTGGATTATTTTAAAAATGTTTGTTTTGCTAAAATCCAAAAAAGTAACACATAGGCAACTCTGGGAATAAAGGGAGTTTAAGTGTGTGTTGTTTGTGAAAAACAATGCAGGTTTTGTCTGACAATTCCTGTAGCATTACAGCAATTTCCATAAAATTCCTGGGAAGTGACTGTGGATTTTCCATATAAGGTTTTTTCTTTCTGAAACCACATTTTTGGAATTCATTAGAATATTTTGTTTAGAGGTACAAACCAGAAAGGAGAGCAAGTCACAGAAGTGTAGTAAATATATAGAGATGGAAAAAAGAGGAAGTCAATTAATTGGGAAAATAATTTTCATCTGAGGGCATCAGAATTGTTTGTGCACTTGCAGCAATCTCCCTAAAATACAGAAAATGCACTTGCAGAAATCTCTCTAAAACACAGGAAAATGCCCTCAAATGTTCCTGATCTCATTTTATATGAGAATTTGCATCCCAATGGCCTGATTTACAAATGCTGCCCTTGAAATAAATACATGATTATTGTTTTGAAGAGAGATTTTTGAAGATCGTGACAATTATGTTTTCTTTGCTCTGAAGGAAGATGTGGGGAGCCTTGAACATGCAGGATGCACCTTGCAAAAGACACAATTTGGAATATTTATTTGGATTAGAAAGCAAACTAATAAAATTATGCTAATCTTAAATTAACATTCAGTGGGTAAACAAGCAGAATTATTTGAGGAGTTCACAGCACTTTGAAGCTCCTTTTCCTGGCTGATTTTTGGCAGCACAGATTTGATCTTTGATTTCCCTGCATAGATTGCTTTCTGAGCAGGGATCTGGCAGCAAATTGCTGCTGCCAGTTTGGGAGTGTTTGCAGGAAATAGGAAGGATCTCTCTTCCTAAACAATCCTGCTTTATTTATTTTTTATTGGTCTGTTAGCAGATGTTGAAGTAGTTCAGGGCACAATGTAACCATGTGCTTTTCAATGGATGCTAAATAGGAAAGTGCACAATGAAAGCAGCAGTTGGGAGGGGGTTTGGAGCAGGGCACGGGGGGTTTTGTGGGGTTTTTGAATTCAGAATTAAAAGAAGTGCTTGATGTTCCTGTGCCCAAACCCTCAGCGTGGACCGAGAGCCGTGGCCCCATGTGGTGTGAGAAAAGGAGCAGCACTTGAAGGGCTGGAGGTTTGAAAGGGAGCTCAGCTCCTTGTTCTGGGAGTGTGGAAGGGGCTGTCTGTGGGGTTTATTGAAGCGTGGCAGATGTGCCTCAGCCCCACAAAACCCCCTCGAGTGGGAGCAGCGCCCCGGCCAGCGCGGATGAGCCCAGGCGAGTGCAGGATTGTGGGCTCTGTGCTCAGCACCCCCTCCACGCAGGCAGCTGAAATGGGCCATTAGCTATCAGGGAAAATTGTCTTTGCTCCTTTCAGCAGATGGAGCAAATATTTTACAAAGCAATTTTACATAGGAAAAGCATTTGTGTGAGGCGGTAATGACGGCTGTTTGCCATGATGGGACCCGAGCTCAGAACATGCTTTCCCAGCTCTGGGGAAGGCAAAATTGGCACTTTTTTTAATTTTAAAATTTGCAGTTAACACTGAAAAGCCCGGGCTTTAAATCGGGTGGCAACTTTAAGGAGATAGAGGGTGCTCAGCGTGTCGCTTCCAAAGCCAATCCCAGTTTTAGAGATCTCTCCATTTATTCTGTTCACTGTGGTACTTTGTGCTCTGGCCAGGGTGGACCTGCCTGAATTAGAAAAAAGTGTCCAATCAGTTTAATTTGCAAAATAGGAAATAATGGCAGTTATTTGGATATTCAGGCAGCAGTCACTGGCTCCTTCCATGGTTGCTGGTGTCACTGAGAACATCAGAACGAGCTGGGCTGGACCAGTTCCACCCAGACTGGGGTAAGTTATCCTCTCACAAGAGAAAGGATGTGCTTATCCATGGTAGGAATTGTCATTGTGCCATCCAAGGGGCAGAAACTGCCACAGCTCCACTGACTGCAGCAGAGTCGTGGCACTTTGTATTGCTCAGGAGCTCTCTGCTGATTTTATTCCTCTCTGGCCCACTCAGCTTTCCTTTAAAGGAATTTGGAGTTCCTTTCTTCACTCTCTATGCTTGCAAAGTCTAAATAATTTCCTTTCCATCTGGTTTTTAGCTAATGCATCCTGCTCTGCATCCTCTTGCTTTACCCAGATCTTTCTTCCTGTTTCTATTTCTTCCTCCTATTTATTTATTTCTCTTCTCAACAGCCTTTTCAGCTTTTCTTTCTTTTTCTTTCTGTCTCCAGCAGATTTCCTACCACTGCCTTCAACATCTGCCATGCTTTGTCTTAATTTTGTCTTGCAACTGCCCAAGAAAACCTTTACAAAATTCATCTTGCAGAAGGGTGAGAAATTATTTCTCATTTAGTGGGAAAAAGCTGTAATTTTTTGGGGGTTTGGTGCTTTGGTTGTTATAAGAAGGTGCTAAACCAATTTGGAGAGATGTAAAGATTTCTACATGATGTAAACAATATTTGGGCTGCTCATTTTTACTGCTACTGAGAAACATCAGCTGCAAGGTTGGAACAAATGCTCCCTGTTTCTGTTGAGCCTGTGCTCCTGGATTGTTTTGGGCCACATCAAGAGAGAAAACATTGGTAGGCTCTGCTGGAGATACTGTCCAATTTAAATGAAATTAGCCAGCTGAGCACTGATCCTTTTAAAAGGTTTGACTTCATGAGTGAATGTTGGATCTGGGCTTGAATTTGCCTACTAAAACTCCCTATAATCAGGATTATTGCCTTTTTAGAGCTTACAGTTGCAAAAAAACCCCTCCAAGCAGAATTCCAGGAGCTGATCCTTAAAGGGTGAGTCCCTTCTGTGAGCACCCTGACCGCCCAGGCGTTGTTCAGAGCACTGCCACCTTGGCTTGGGGCTCAAGGGGGGTTCAGCAGAGTTTCTTGAGTTATGATTTGTTTAAAATCCTGCTTTGTTTCTGTCAGACAGGTTTGGTGCTCACATCCTTCACACTCAGCAGGGCTGTGGCTGCCCCTGGATCCCTGGAGGTGTCCAAGGCCAGGTTGGAGCCTGGGATAGTGGCAGGAATGGGATGGGATTTAAGTTCCCTCCCAACCCACAACATTCCAGGATTCCATGATTTATTATCCTAAAGCACCATCCTTAGATGTGCAAGAAGAACTTCCAAAAGGCACAGGAAACTTCCTTGGAAGTTCTGCCTGATTTTGCAGCCAGGTTAGGGAGGTTTCTTCCACAGCCATGTGTGATCCTCCAGCTCTGTGTGAAAGGACAGACAGCTCAGAACTGTGGCACTGGAAATTTGTCCCACTTTAATTGTTCCTTACACAAACTTGGGCACAGCACTCCCAAATGTCTCCCCATCCAGCAGAGATTCCTGGGGTTTTTCCCCTCTGTGATTTATCAAAATCTTTCAGGCAGCCACTGCACACCCCTTGCTTTGTTTGTTTTTATATTTCTGTTTAAATTGCTCCATACCCCAAGTCAGCAGGTCTCAGAGGTGGAGTGACAGGGGTGCACTGCCAGCTGGGAACTGATTTGTGGGGCAGCAATTCCAGGCCATCCATCATGGCTCACATCCTCTCTCCAAAGATGAGAGGATTTTCATGAGCCACCTCAGCCTGTGCCTTGTTGGCTCAGCAATAATTCAGCACAAACACAAACCCACACAAGGCCAATGGGTGTTTGCTCACTGCTCTGCTGGTTCAGTCAGCTCAGCCATCCAAAACCAAAATTCCTCCAGATCCTGAGGAAATGAGCAGGGTAAAGACCTGAAGCTGTGTAAATTCTGAGCTTGGATCTCATGTTTTATGTGCTCCTTTGTTTTTTGGGTCAATTCTGAGTTTGGATCTTACATTTTATGTGCTCCTTTGTTTTTTGGGTCAATTCGGAGTTTGGATCTTACATTTTATGTGCTCCTTTGTTTTTGGGTAAATTCTGAGTTTGGATCTTACATTTTATGTGCTCCTTTGTTTTTGGGTCAATTCTGAGTTTGGATCTTATGTTTTATGTGCTCCTTTGTTTTTGCCATGACGTTGTGCTGCTTAGTGTATTGATCTACTGACTAAAACCATTTTAACCCCTTTTTTGTGATATTTTTTAAGTCAATAACATGTTTTTCTCCTTACTATATGATAGGAGCCCACATATCCCACATCAGCATCACCATCTGAGCACCTCCATATTTTTAAGGTATTTTTGCCCTCAGTTGTCCCCCTTCCATGGCTGGGCAGCTGAGGCCCAGGTGGAAAATCCCTTTCCTGCAGTCTCAGGGTGGCTGCAGCCAGGAGCAGAGATCATCCAGCTCTCCTGCATGCAGAGTTCATCCCAGATTCCCCAGCTGTCCAGAGGAGCCGTGGCTGCCCCTGGATCCCTGGAAATGTCCAAGGTTGGATGGGCTGGGAGCAGCCTGGGACAGTGAAGGTGTCCCTGCCATGGCAGGGGTGGCACTGGATGTGATTTCAGCTCCCTTCCCCCCCAAACCATCCAGTGATTCCAATCATTGCTCCATCCTCCTCGTGCTGGTAGGCAAATCCCAGTGAAGTCATTTAGAATTTGCATTTTTGGTTACTTTCCATCATGTGCTCCATGACAAAGCCCCATCTCTACAAACTCACTGCTCCGGAAAAACAGCTTTAATTTTTTATTTGCTATTCTTAGCTGTCAGCCATAAGGTTTCCTCATGTTCCTCCAGAGCCTGGGATGAAATGATTGTGTCTGAGGACATTGGCAGGACCGGAGGAGGGCTGGTCATTGCTGCAGCACGGGGTGCTGAGGAGAGGGGATGGAAAACAGAGGAAAGAGCCCCAGGGGAGCAGGGGGAGGCTCATGAAGCAGCAAGAAAAGGAGCCTGAAGCAATCCAGTCAGGGTCCTTGCACTTTATATGCTCCTGTTCTTCTGGGGCTTTGGGGAGCAGTAAAAGCAGAGCAGTTACTTGCTGTATTTAATGGGGCTGGGCTGTGTGTGTGATAATAAAGAATTTAAAACTAGGAAAAAAGCTGCTTTAGCTGGGGAGTGACTAATCAAATTCCACCAAAGACACAGGCACTTGGGAGTTTGTTACAGATATTTTGCAGATTGAAAAGGATATCTCCTGCTTTGGAAATGCTTTTGCTTGATTATTCCTTTTTTTTTTTTTTTTCTATCTAAAGGGTATTTGGGTTGATAGAAGAGCTTGAACATAGAACCAGCAAAACTATTGCTGGCATATGTGACTATTTCAATATGCTGCTTCAAAATCCAAGCAATGTACAAGTTATTGACTGCTGCTATTGATCCCAAAGCAGTTACCAAGTACTTGGCATTTTCAGATGCCAGATCCAATTATTGATATAAATTATAATGCAGGAGATGCTGTGCTGAGGGGGGGATTGGCTTTCAGAGAAGGACAGTTTGCAGGAGGAGAGAAGAGGAGCAAGCAGAAAAATTAAAAAAGGCTTCCTGACTGTGGGTAAACAGTAACCACATTTTTTTTTTTTTTGCCTGTTGGAGGCCTGGTTTTTAATCACCCCACAAGCAGTTTTCATTTCTGTAGTAAAATTGCTTGTGGTTCTATTTAATTTGTTTCTGCAGGAGCTAGCTTTGGTGAAGATCTCCCAGGAGCTGCCGGGCCTTTTAGCACAGCACGTACAGCCAGTCAATGAGAAACGATTCCCTACATGGGAAAAATTCCTCCAAACATTTCTTACTCAAGGTAAATAAGACTGCAAAGTCGCTGGGAAGTGTTAGAAGGAGTAATTATGCCATATTGTCTGCCATATTCTTGTTAGTCTTGGGCCCATTTAAATATTTATCTCCTTTTATTTCTCCATTATGCTTCAAATGTTCATTTACCAATGAATTATAGGCCACTGTTCTATCATTCATTTGTCCTATCCAAGCTTTTAGTCCATATTAATCCTGGATTCTGAATCCATAAGCACCAGCTCCTTAATCCTTGGCTGTCACCAAAGGCTGTCACATTTGGGGAAAGGTTTTAGGGAATTCCAGCACGTGAGGTAAATGTAAGAATATTCAATATATAGATTTCTTTATGGAAGAGACAAGGATGAATCAAAGCCTTGAAGGTATTTTTCTTTTTAAATAAATCCACTTAACACATCTAGTACCAATTTTATTACATAGCTGTTTATCCCAACAAATTGGATTATGGCATTATATGCAAGGAAAAGGCAAGTCCAGAATGCCAGGCAGTTACCTTGGTGATTTTCCTATGGAAAACCATGCTGGAAATTGTTATTTCCGTGCCAAATTCCTCTTGTGGGTGAGTGCCACAGGCAGACTCTTATCTAAGACCATTACATGGATGGGAGTCTCCAAGATGAGCTCCCAGCAGGAGTTACCATCCCCCAGATCCCCACATTGCATTTCCCAGCTGTTGTGGGCTGGTGCTGAGCTGGATTCACTCCTGCTACCCCTGTTTTCCAGTCAGCTGTGGGATTGATCCACTTTGGAAGTGGCAATGAAAAGCCACTAATTAAACTCCTTTCTCCTCCAAGAGACCCACGATCCTGGCTCTGCTGCTCCCCTTGCACTGATTTATTTGCTGTTTCTCCAGTCCCCCCTGGAGCTGCTGGTCCATCCTGTGCACTCTGAAGGGCAGCACTGGTGGATTTGATGCCAGGAGAATTCCTTTCCACTTCCAGGGGGGGTGATCGAAGCCTTCCCGTCCTCGGGCAGCGTCACCAACCTGACGGTGGATCTGCTGATAGAGCCAACGGGGGAGCTGACACTGCTGTCATCTGGAGACCAGCTCCACGCTGAGGGGCCCCTCAGATCTTCTGGCACCACCATCCCACAGCGTTCCGTGGATCCTGAGCTTCTCAAGGCTCTCTGCCTGAAAATTGGGGAGGCCTGTAAATCCAAAGGAGTGCTCGGCTACTTCTCCGTGGACTTCGTGGCTTTCACCCATCCCCAGACGAGGGAGCAGCAGGTGAGTGGGGCAGGTTTGGGACCTCACCCTGTCTCCCTGAGACTGGGAAACTCCCAACTTTCCTGTGGAACTCCAAAAAATACCAGGAGAAAGCTTTGCCCTTTGGAACAAACAATTTCCAAGCTCTGGGGCATGTGAGCTGAGGGAAGCATGAGGGTATTCTTACAGCACCAAATGCAGACCTGAGGCATCTCCTTGTTTTTCACCACTGCTGTCATCTGGAGACCAGCTCCACGCTGAGGGGCCCCTCAGATCTTCTGGCACCACCATCCCACAGCGTTCCGTGGATCCTGAGCTTCTCAAGGCTCTCTGCCTGAAAATTGGGGAGGCCTGTAAATCCAAAGGAGTGCTCGGCTACTTCTCTGTGGACTTCGTGGCTTTCACCCATCCCCAGACGAGGGAGCAGCAGGTGAGTGGGGCAGGTTTGGGACCTCACCCTGTCTCCCTGAGACTGGGAAACTCCCAACTTTCCTGTGGAACTCCAAAAAATACCAGGAGAAAGCTTTGCCCTTTGGAACAAACAATTTCCAAGCTCTGGGGCATGTGAGCTGAGGGAAGCAAGGGGTATTCTAACAGCATCACATGTAGAACTGAGGCATCTCCTTGTTCTTCAGTCTCCTGACATTGTTTTCTTCTGGAATCTTCACTGAGGACCTCAGTGTTTAGGATGTGTTTGACTGTAAAAGGGAATATCCCTGGACTTCAAGGCTGCAGGGAGCTGGGGAACTTTCAGGTTTTTGGGAGCTGATAGCAGTGTAAGGGTGGCTGTGGTGAACCAGAGAATCAGAATAATCATGTAATTGTCTGGGTAGGAAGGAACCTTAAAAATAATCTCATTCCAACCCCTCATTCTACACCTTCCACTATCCCAGGTTTCTCCAAACTCCCTCCAGCCTGGCATTGGACACTTCAGGGGTGCAGGGGCTGCCACAGCTTCTCTGGGCACCTGTGCCAGGGCCTGGCCCTCACAGCAGTTTGTGAGCTCTGGAAGTCAGATCCCAGTTATATACAACTCCCAAAATGGATGTGCACAGGCAGGCATTGTAATCAGAGCTCTGGAGGAGCCATACTGGCCAAGTTCCATGGAAGTTCTTTAAAAAGATGAAGGGATGCCATTCTCAGCCACGGAAATCCACGGGAGCTCTGCCAATTGCTCCACCCCAGCCAGGAGGTCACTGACATGCAGGATTGCTTCCTGGATTATTAAGGCTGTGACATTTCCTGGCACAAACAAGGACACATTAAATCATTTGGTGATTCTTGTGGCTTCTTAGAATTCCTGTCTGTTCCATCTTGGTTTTCTTCCCTTGTTCCCAGCTGATTTTTACCTCAACATTTCCTATGTTTATCAGCATGTACCACAACTTTAACATTATTTAAGCACAGGTTTTTAAATTTAACTGGATGTGGAGGCAATTAATGAGGCCATCTGTCTTGGGAGAGAGAGATCACACAAAGGCTTGTGTTCCTGAAAGCACCATTTTTTTGGCAAACAAGAAATCCTATCAGACCTTTGGAACATTTGCTCAGTCCTTTCACAAGTGTCCCCTTGAATGCAGGAGGTGGGAGGCTCAGATGCATGTCCTGGATACTCAGGGATTCTTTCCAAGTGTGTTTTACAGAAAATATTGATCTTTGGAGCACTAGGAGAAAAGGATGGATAAGGAACAATGTGTGTTGTCACACAGCTCAGTGGGAAGACAGAGCCTTGGCTGCCTGATCCAAGGGGCAGGGAAAGCTGGGACACAAAATTCCACAAAATTCCCTGCTTGCCTCAGGAATTTGGTTCCATCTCAGTTTCAGGCTCCTGATCCTGAGGGGAAGGGAGATGGAGATGCTGTCTTCAGTGTCTTGGGGAAGAAGTGGAGGTGCATAGTTTGGAGTGAATCCCTTCTGATTCCCACTCTATTTTCCACAATGATCACTCCAAGCCAAGCCTTGGCCCCTCGGAGTGAAATCCTGCCCAGTGCTGGCTGTCAGACCCCAGCTGGGAGCTGCACCCAAATAAATCCACTGGACTGAGTGGGAGTATTTAAACACATCGACTTCCTTACATAATAATTTGGAGAAGCAGGATCCTAAGCCACCTTTTCCATGGGTCTGGTGGCTTTTGCACAGCCCCAGCCTTTCCCAGCAGTAGTGAGGGAATAATGAATTGGATAAAGTGCTGGACAATTCCCACAGCATCCCAAGGTCTCTCCAGACAGAACATAACACATTTTTATGTTCTTTTTTCCAACAAGAGCCACGGTGCTGCCATCAACCATCTCCCAACCCTGTATTCAGCAGGACAGAGGAGCTGCAGAGCCCTAAAATTGAATTTTTTGGGTGAGCCCCAGCCCATGCCAGCAGCTGCCACGAGATGGCAGCCAGAGGAGAGCCTGCCAGCACTGCCCCAATCAGTCCTCCTGCAGGTTTTAAAAGTCATGAAAGCCACTCTCCTTCCAACGCCCCAGCTGCATTAATATTTTACTAATTGACATTTTTACAGTATCACTCAAGCACTTCTTTAAAACTGGCACGGGTGCTCTTCACAATAACGCAGCCGTCGATAGCAGCAGAGATAAAACAGTTAAAGCACAGAGAGCCCAGCTGTAATTTAGTAACTCCTTAAGAATTTATGTTTCCTTCCCTTCTCAAGTTTACATTCTAAAGCTGAAGCGTTTTTATGGAAGCTGTAAAGAATTCCAGCATAATTGTGACTTTATTCACTGGAGATGTCTTCAGCACAAAGCGCTGGCTCTGAAGCTGTGTGTGCCCAAGGAGAATCCCCTGGAAGCAAATTTCCTTGGATAAACAGCCAGCAGGTCTTGCAGGGTGTATTTCTAACTCTTTGTTTTTCCATTGGTAGGATTCTGGAGAGTCCTAATCTGCTCTGGGCTTAGCTTGACCTAAAACCAGTCTTAAATCTAAAATGTTAACTACTGCCTCTACCTCCTACCTTTGGACTTTGAAAATCAAATATCATTTCTAGGCTGTTCTGTTCCAGTTAAATTTCTCAACATAAATTCTGGAAATCCCCACATTTCAGATGAAAACTCTTTGTGTTCTGCTATTTTTCCATGCAATCCTGTCAGGATGTGACACCCCCCAATCATAACTGTGTACAATTACATCCTGCCCTTATTGTGTATGCTCAGAAAATGGGGATGGGCTCAGTAATAGATGTTTGTTAATCTGTAGGATTGTATCATTCTTTACTTAAACTTCACCTTTGCACAGGGCATCACCTAAGAGCCCCTGATTTACTGGAGGAGATGATTTATGTGGCCAGACCCTTTTCCAGGCCCTGTGTTCTCCCATTTCTGTAGCAGCACAGAGGGGATTTAAAGGACATTTTTGTGTTTCCATGGCAAAAGGGAATCCCCTGCTAGGATAAAGCTGGAAAATCTTGTGCCATCTGATCCTTCTTCCTTTCTCCCCCACGTCAGGGATGTTCTGGGACACGTCCAGGGCAGGAGGGGACATGGCCACAACCAAAGTGTTCTCAGAGAGCCCTGAGCCAGGAAAACAATCCTTGGGGGTGATCCCAGCTGGCACCAAGGAGTGACCATTTGGCTGCTCTGAGTTCCAACAGGGGTGGTTCAGCCCCAGGCTCAGGGATGAAAGGAGGTGGACAGGTGGCTTCCAGCCATGTTTGCCTTCCTCCTATTCCTCCTCCTCCCCACACCTTCTATTGGAAAATGCAAAATATTACAATGACTTTGCCTGAGGAGGACATGAAGCTTAAGGAGATTTTTGAGCTCTCCTTTGTTACAGTAGGGGGGGATGGACACCTTCATTCATCCCCCCTGTAGATGCAAACTCTTCATTTTGTATGCAGCAGCAGAAATGGGGCTGAGATGATGAAAACACACAAAACCAATTTAATCCCCTCTGGAAGCAAACAGAAACTCCTTAAACCAGTATTTGGTCAATCTCATCATTTCCAGCACAAAAGTTGCCCTGCTAAAAGCTTTTTCTGTTCTTCCCTGCTCTGCCAGCCCCTTCCTTGGGCAAGTTGGAGCCATTCCCTGGATCAAGGGCTCCAGGAGAGCTCCCATCCTTCCCAGAGCATCCATTCCCTGGATCAAGGGCTCCAGGAGAGCTCCCATCCTTCCCAAGCATCCATTCCCTGGATCAAGGGCTCCAGGAGAGCTCCCGTCCTTCCCAAGCATCCATTCCCTGGATCAAGGGCTCCAGGAGAGCTCCCATCCTTCCCACAGCATCCATTCCCTGGAGCTGGGGCTCCAGGAGAGCTCCCATCCTTCCCAGAGCATCCATTCCCTGGATTTTGAGGTCAGGTATAATATCTGAGTCTGGATTAAGAGCAAACACTTCACTTGGAGCCAGTGAACAGCCCTCAGATATCCAAGATTTTTCACTCCCTGGTTCCCTCATGCAGCTCTGTCATTTCTTTCTGAGGGCAAAGTTTTAATTGAGAGGGTAAAACCCAGCTCAGACAAGATCTAGGACATATTGACACAGATTTGTTGATAATATTTATCAAAATTAATGGAACACTCCCACAATATGAATAGTTTATAATTATTATTTGGCTCATTGAAAAGGTTGGCACACACTGGAAAAGGAGAAATGGACAGCAAAGTTCCTCCTGTCTCACAGAAGTGATGATAAACAATAAATTATTGAAGAAAATTAAGTATTATAATTGGGGAACATTCCCCTATTACTAAGTAAAGCCAGCCATTAGCATCCAATTTGCATTTTAGACCGTGCAGCAGGAAATATTTAAGTTGACAAATAGGATATTTAATACAGCAACAGATACTTGGCAGTTAGACATTAACAACTGTTACTGGGGTGATTTATTCCCCATTATCCAAAGGGCATTACTCTGTGCATATGATTCTGAAATTAACTCCAGTTTTCCAAGAGGCCTTGGCTGCCTGACCCCTTAATATCCTTATAATGAGTCCATTTACCATTCCAGGGCTGAGGCAAGTTGTTCACTGGGAGATTTGTTTTAAGGGGTCCTCTGTAGGGCAGCTCTTGGGGTGTGGGAACATTTCTCACTGGCAGGGATTTTTAAAGTGGGAAAATCTCAAGCTCTGGTTATTGGGGTGGAGGAGCCTTGCAGAAGCAATCCTCAGCCTCCCTGAAAGATTATTAAGTCCCAGAAGAGTTCTGCTTGCTTCTGTTTGGAAGTGGTTTGTGGAATCACAGAATCCCAGAATGGTTGGGGTGGGAAGGGACCACTGGGTGCCCACCCAGTGCCACCCCTGCCATGGCAGGGACACCTCCCACTGTCCCAGGCTGTTCCAAGCCCTGTCCAACCTGGCCTTGGGCACTGCCAGGGCTCCAGGGGCAGCCACAGCTGCTCTGGGTACCTGTGCCAGGGCCTGCCCACCCTGCCAGCCAGGAATTCCTTCCTCCCATCTTCATCACTGCCAGCCCTGCCCCAGCACCAGGAAGCCAAAAGCAGGAATGCCAACACACAGGACAAGGAAAGGCAGAGATGTTCCTTCACAATTGCTGAATTTTACTCTTCTTGTCGTTCTTTTGAATTTATTTGAATGCCTCTCTTTGGTTTTGATTAGGTGTGGGCAACAGACCTTGACCTTTGCTACAGTGACCAGCTGGCCCTGAGTCAGCTCCTGGTGTACCTGACAGATGGAAATCTGGATTGTGGCTCCAGCATCCTGCAAGCACCTCTGGGAGCACAGGAAAGCAAAAGCCAAGGGGTTCAGCACGAGGGGACAAAACCTGTAAGCAGTGTTGTGTTCTCAAATAGAATCATTCATGGAACTCCCAGTTCATGTTCTGTTCTAGAGGAGCTGAACCTGCTCCCTCCTGTTTTTAAACTGCTGCTCTTGGATTTTACCAGGCTAATGAAGTCATGGGCTAACAGCACAGTAGGAGTTAAAGTGGAACAATCCCATCCCTGGAAGTGCCCAAGGCCACCCTGGGGTGTCCCAGGTGTCCCAGCCCATGGCAGGGGGTGGAATGGGATCAGCTTTAAGGTCCCTTCCCACCCAAATATTCTGGGGCTCTATAAAATGGGAAGAAAGATCTTTAGAAAAGTCAGCATAAGAAGTGTCTGTCTGTGCACACACATGTATGGATTGCAAACAAAAGCTGTTTGCCATATTTTGACAGAAGATTCACAGCTCCCTTTTTGCCATCCATAGAGGAGGGAATGTATCACCATTCCAAAAATGTCATGGAGCTGTAATTTAGAGGTTAACGAGCTCTTGATCCATTGTTCTCGTCAAGCAACCACTTTTAGCTGGAGAGAAGTAAATTAGATCTGATTAGTCCCAGTAGTCCTGGGACTAAGTTTTAGAAATGAAAAGTAATCAAGTAGCAACTTTTTTTTAATTAAAATTCTGTCAGAATTAACATAAATTGTTATTATATGCTTTATTTTTAATTCCTTCTGTATTTCTGAGATTTTTATCTCCTGAAGAGTTAACTACAAGACTGCAGTCTCCCAGGAAAAGAGAAAAAGAAACAAACCAAGAGACAAATGTTTTTACTGCACATGATCTGTAATGAATGATTAAGTAAAACACTTTGTGTAAAATTATGATGTTAATAATGATTCTGTCCCTTTTAATTTATTAGATATTCTCCATGCTGGTAGGGTTGATTTTGATAAAACGGAGCAGCCCCGCAGTTTGTGCGAGGATTTTATTTTTAGAACTCCTTCTTTGAAAGAACAAATTTCCTAGATACTGCTGCTCCTGTAATTATGTACAAAACCAATCACTCATTATAGTTAGGATACATTATCTTCTAGACAGATGAGGCTAAATAAGCAACACATTAATAATTCATCCTGCAGTTCATTATGCATGTGTATGCATGCTTTGTAGCTGAAATAAGCACCTCATCAACCTGATGCCAACCCTTAAACAATAGTTCTGTGTTATTGCAGCCACATTCAAGTTTACGCTTGTTAAACTGCTGCTTGGATTATTTTATCAAGCATTCATTTATTTGTGGTCCCCTACTGCAGAGAAACAGATTTTGGAAGCTCCTTTTTTAAGTTAATGACTTGAGCAATGGGTGTTATTAATTCTCAGAATATTATAAACATGATTAATTTTCAGGCAGAGATGTATTAGATCAGGATTTCAGCTATGTCAACTTAAATGAGTCAATGTCAAAACAAATATCATTTTAGGGAAAATACTGTAAATTACAGGCTTTGATGTGCAGTGTCCCTGCTCGCAGGGACATTAAAACCACCACCAGGAAAGGCCTGGTTTAGAACAGCTCTGCTCAGAGCTCCTCAGAGCAACATCTCTGTTCCTCTGGCACTGCTGAGAGTTTAAACTGGATGCAGCACCGACCTTTATCCAAGGGGGAGAGAGGGCAGGGGCAGTAGGATATTGGGAATAAATTCCTCCCTGGCACAGGTGCCCAGTGCACCCACCTGGAATGTCCAGGGCCAGGTTGGACTCGGTGCTCTCACAGAGCTCAGTGAGCACTGAAGCTGTGAAAACACCAAAATATGCTTCATGGGGCAATTCTGTGGCTCTGATCTGTCAAACAGGGGATTATGGAAATGTCTGTGTCCAGCTGAGCCTGTGAGGAACAGGAATTCCTCCAAATGGAGCCTTACTCCAGGCTGGCAAAAAGCCATTTATGGAAGCACAGGATGCCAGGATGGTTTTTGGGTTGGAAGGGAACTTCAAGCTCATCCCATCCCACCCCTGCCATGGGCAGGGACACTTTCCACTGTCCCAGGCTGCTCCAAGCCCCATCCAACCTGACCTTGGACACTTCCAGGGATCCAGGGGCACCCAGCTTCTCTGGGAATTCCATTCCAGGGCCTGCCCACCCTCACAGGGAACTTTCTTCCCAATATCCCACCTTATCCCACCCTCTATCTGTTTGAAGCCATTTCTTGTCCTGTCCCTCCATCCCTTGTGAAAAGTCAGTCAGTAATTTAGCATTTAGCTGTTGTGTTCTGATATAAATGGTGTGAAAATGAGGAATCCTGGGTGAAAAGTCAATAATTTAGCATTTAGCTGTTGGGTTCTGATCCAAGTTGGTGTGACAGTGAGCAGTCCTGGGTTGTTCTCTGCAGCCTGCCCCCAGCAGCCCCTGGTGTGCCGTGGCCAGCAGCCAGCTGAGGCACTGCAGCCTCTCAGGGATCTCCTACAACCTCTTCCTCCACACCTGCAAAGCTCGTGGGATTGGCTTTGACCTCCAGGTATGAACAGGAGACATGAGGAAAATGTGACATTCCTTCTGCAGAATTTTTGTTTGTAAGTTCTTTTATGATGAAACCACTTCTAGCAATGTAAATTATAAATCATAGAATTGTTAGGGTTGAAAAAAGACCTTGGACACTTCCAGGGATCCAGGGGCACCCAGCTTCTCTGGGAATTCCATTCCAGGGCCTGCCCACCCTCACAGGGAACTTTCTTCCCAATATCCCACCTTATCCCACCCTCTATCTGTTTGAAGCCATTTCTTGTCCTGTCCCTCCATCCCTTGTGAAAAGTCAGTCAGTAATTTAGCATTTAGCTGTTGTGTTCTGATATAAATGGTGTGAAAATGAGGAATCCTGGGTGAAAAGTCAATAATTTAGCATTTAGCTGTTGGGTTCTGATCCAAGTTGGTGTGACAGTGAGCAGTCCTGGGTTGTTCTCTGCAGCCTGCCCCCAGCAGCCCCTGGTGTGCCGTGGCCAGCAGCCAGCTGAGGCACTGCAGCCTCTCAGGGATCTCCTACAACCTCCTCCTCCACACCTGCAAAGCTCGTGGGATTGGCTTTGACCTCCAGGTATGAACAGGAGACATGAGGAAAATGTGACATTCCTTCTGCAGAATTTTTGTTTGTAAATTCTTTTATTATAAAACCACTTTAGCAATACAAATTATAAATCCTAGAATTGTTAGGGTTGAAAAAGACTTCTAACATCATCCAACCATTAACCCACCACCCCCATGTTCACCACTAAGCCATGTCCTCAAGTGCCACACAAACCTATTTTTCTTTCAGTTTAAGTGTGTGTAAGACTTTTAGGTGTTAACCTGCTTCTTGATAAGAATAACTGCGTAAGGAGATCAGTTTTAAGATACTTTTGAGTGTCTCTTACTGCTTTGAAACCCAAATATTTGCTGTGGAATAGACTCTGCTGCATTTATTGTATTTTCTACAAGAAGTTAGAGCAATAATCTATTTAAACTGAGCCAGAATTCCTTACACACAATTCCAACCCAGCCCTCCTTAGTTTGGGTGTGCACCTACCATAACACATTTATTACAATTCCCACTATTTTAGGAATAAATAAAGCAATTTTGTCTTCATTAACAGGCGAAACAGGGAACAGTTTTTGTGTTGTATGAAGACCAGAAGCGACACAGCCTGGGAATGATGTAAGTGTGACTGTCCCTAACCCAGGGTGACAGAGAGCTGGGGACACTCAGGAACACAGCCTGGGAATGATGGAAGTGTGGAGTGTCCCTAAGCCAGGGTGACAAAGAGCTGGGGACAGCCTGGGACACAGATTGGGAATGATGGAAGTGTGGAGTGTCCCTCAGCCAGGGTGACAAAGAGCTGGGGACACTCAGGGACACAGCCTGGGAATGATGGAAGTGTGGAGTGTCCCTAACCCAGGGTGACAAAGAGCTGGGGACACTCAGGGACACAGCCTGGGAATGATGGAAGTGTGACTGTCCCTCAGCCAGGGTGACAAAGAGCTGGGGACACTCAGGGACACAGCCTGGGAATGATGGAAGTGTGGAGTGTCCCTCAGCCAGGGTGACAAAGAGCTGGGGATAGCCTGGGGGTGCAGGGAGTGACAAAGGCCAGGGAGGGAATGAACAGCCTGAGCACCTGGCTGTCACCTCCTGCTCCCAGAAGGAACCTGACTTCTCCCAGGACTGGCCTCTGGGGGAGTTTTAGGGTGGATTTCAGCATTTCAGCAGTAAAAGAAGGCCAGGAGTGTGCCGAGCCCAGGGGCTGGTGGCACTGCAGGCTCAGGAGCTGCTGGAATTGGCTTCAGGAGATCTGCATTCCCTTCAGGAGCAATCTCTCCCATGGATTGGCACAGCCTTGCTCTTACAGGCAACATGATTAAAGCCCTGGCTTCCAGGAGGCAAAGGAGGGTGAAGTTAAATGCCTTTTTACATTGTTCTTGCCCAAGTTTCCTGCCCAAATAGGATGTAATAAGTGAGGAGCTGAAGCGTTGTGCTCTCAGCCTGTTCTGTATTCCTTTGATGCTGCAGCTATTTCATTAATGACCTGGATAACAAAACAGCTTCTTCGAGTGCTGCATGTGCCTGCAAGTGTTCTGGAGGGCAGGAACAGAATTCAAAATGATCTCCACAAATTGAAGGAACAAGATGAGAAATAGAATTAGGTTTGGTTGGAACCAGGTGGAAGAAATTACATTTAGAGAGCAGTAATGAATATGAGGAACAAGGAGGTTTTGGGAACAGGATCTGTGAATGAAACAATGTCATGATCCTGTGGAAAAAGATAAACAGTGTATGCTGGAAGAAATCCTGCTGTTCTGTGAGAGGGAGGCAATGAAAATTAGTTTAGAGTTCTGGAGAGCATGACTGACATAGAAGGACTAAAAAGGAGAGGGAGGGCAGAAATGGGATCTGCTAACGATCTCCCAGCACAGAAAAAGCCTCTGCAGGAAGGGAAAATCTGATTTTTTGGTAGTAGGACAAGAAGAAATAAATTCAACTTGAAACAAAGAGGATTCCCGTTGTCTGCCATCACATTTTCAGAGCAACTCCATAGCCTTAATTGGGAAACATTTTCAAGATTATAGGAGTTGGAGCTTACAAAATAACTGAAATCTCTGAGAATTACCCATTTCATTCATCAGAGATCCGTGGTTGATTCCAGTGAATGAGGCACGTTATTAATCAGAGTAATTCCCTGTTCCACAAGGTGTGGAGAGTCTGTGTGGACCACTGGGAAACCAAAGCCTCCAAAGCTGCAACAATCCAAGGAATGCTGATCCTGCTGAAATGTCTTTCCCAAATTTTAGGCTGAAGCAAGTTTTTCCCAAGTGATGTGGGTGTTTCAAGTGTTCTGCTGCCTCAGTCCTTCCTCAGCAGTCACCTTTTACTTGGAGTAGCTGAAACCTCTCTGCTTACTTCTGCTAAGTTGATTAATAAAAATTATTTATTACACAAATCCTTTCCGTTGACAAGTTAAAATGGAGCCTCATCTTTCATATCTCCCTGAAGATTTTTACCTTGTGAGATTGAAAATCCTCATTAAATTCCAGCACCAGGCAGGCACAAATGAGAGGGCGATTGTTTTTAAGCATGTGAAGGGAATCATTGGTAAACTCATTTGTTTGGATATCATTAACAGAACAATCGGAGAGGATCTCCAGGGGGTCCTCCTGACCTTTGCTCGCAATCTCTTCATCATCCATCAAGAAATATCAGCACCTAATATGCAAGGCGAGACCAATTTTAAGGTGAGGTGTTAATTAACTAACGATCCTGGTTAATTTCTGTACAAGGCCTGCAAATACCTCATGCTGGATCATAAACAAGTGCTAAACCATTCCTTTTTTATCGCTGGCTGTGTGTGGTTTACAGTGTCTGGGTCAGCGTAGTGGGTCTCCCACGGCACCCGTTAGTTAAATTTAAGTTTGAAACTTTTTCTTTGAAAAGAGACATCCTTGAGCGTGAAATTATTTGTAATCTAATGCTCCTGAGTGTCCTTTGGAAGAGCAAAGGAGCTGTTGGCACTGCCTCACACAGTTCTGTCACAATTGCCTGCTTTATTTTAAAGGGACACCATCAAGGTAAGAATCTCAAATTAGAAACAAATCTCTCAGTTGATAATAACTCCTTGGATTATTAACACTCATTTCTTTTAAGCAGGCAGCCACTAATCCATTCCTTCCCACCCTCACCCCGCCATCCATTTCCCAAGTGGATTTTGTTCCCAATTTCCTCTGCTGTTGGAATGTGCCCATCCCTGGCTGCTGCAGAGGGGGAGGACAAAGCACAGGGGCTCACCCTGGGGACGTTCCCCACCTTGCAGCCAGAGCCAGCAAAGCAATCATCCACCCAACCCCGTGCCCTGGAACAAGCCCTCCTCACAAAGCTGCTTTTGATTCCACAGAATTGCTCAGCTGCCCACAGGGAGCTCCTTTTGCTGAGCTGCATCACCTTTAACTTGATAAAAAACTTTCCAAGATCCTGTGTGTGTTTTGTGGAAGGTGAAGGGGAACGCTGTGTTAGATTTGAATCTTCAGTCATGTCACATAATTTATAGCAGATTCTTTCCACCCTGACTGGATTTTCCAGTAGAGTGTGAAATGACAGATTTTGGGGAAGACATAATTAAATTTCAACATGTTACAGAATAAACAACAACAACAAAAAAAATCCCATTTTTCAATACGAGGGAATGAAAAGCAACCATGGAGAAAAAATAAAAGAGAGAACTTTTCTCCACTGTGCATGAACATATGTGAAATAAAACACCTGTTAGTTAATTAGGAGTACAAATTGTATTTTTATTTACCTGGGATTTGTACATATTTACTAATAATTCCCCCCAGTGTCTCCAAAGTAATATTAAATTTAATTGGTGCATCCTGTCCCGTGTAACCCTGTTACCTCTGCAAGGCAGGCACTGCCAGCTGTGCACCCTGGCTGCTGGATCCCATTATAATGCCCATTAAATAACTTGTATCCCTGGAATCTGTTACAGATGGCAATTCGAGATATTGAAGCAATTCTAGGAGTTACAGCAGAAAACAAACTGAGATTGGAAGAAGAGCAACCTTGGGAAGCAGATGCTCTGAAAGAATAGTTAACAGAAAATGTTCAAGTGCCTCATTCCTTATGCTTCTGGAAATGCTTCCTCATCTGTAAGAACAGGTTTGCTTTTCCTTCTGAGCTGTGTGTGAAGTGACATTAACTGAGACAGAAAATCTCTGTGGTTCCTGCCTGTGCCATTGGGAACACCCCACCTTTCTTGTTGGAAAGGATCATCCTAATGCTCCTCATGTCCCTGTTGTCACTCCTGGAGTTCAGCATGTGGGTTAAAAATCTTATTAAAGGGGTAGTGCTGCCTTTGTCACTGACTCTGAGCAGGAGCAGATCCACTGACAGCAGCTCTGAGAGCCCAAATTCCCCTTCCAACAGGCTGAAATAGCACTGAAAGGAAAGGAGTCCAGGGTTAGACCTGCTGAGAGTCCAGAGGCCACCAGGGTGAGCAGAGGATGGAGCAGCTCTGCTGGGAGGGAAGGGGTTGGACTCGATGATCTTGGAGGTCTCTTCCAGCCCAACCATTCTGGAAAGGCTGGGAGAGCTGGGATTGTTCACCTGGACAGGAGAAGCTTTGGGGTGAGCTCGTTCTGGCCCTGAAGAGGCCACAGGAAGGATGGAGAGAGACCACTCAGAAGGAACTGGGCTGCCAGGACAAGGGGGAATGGCTTCAAACTGGAGGAGATTGGGGTTGGCTGAGATATTGGGAAGGAGTGCTTCCCTGTGAGGGGGGCAGGCCCTGGCACAGGTGCCCAGAGCAGCTCTGGCTGCCCCTGGATCCCTGGCAGTGTCCAAGACCAGGCTGGACAGGGCTGGGAGCAGCCTGGGATAGGGGAAGGTGTCCCTGCCAAGGCAGGGGTGGGATGGGATGAGATTTAAGGTCCCTTCCAACCCAAACTATCCCGTGGTTCTTTTGCCTATAAATGCTTTAATTTAAACCCCACTTCATCAGCAATCCCAGCAAGCCATGTTCCTCTGCAGAGCCATCTCTATTGTTAGGCTGCTTTTTCTATTCTCTAAAGACTTTTGCAGCAGTTCTTTCATGGTCATTTTCAAATTATCAAAAAGAACAGTTATAGCACTAATTCATCAATAGAATTCTCCTTGCACTGTGATTCCCAGAATTCCATGACTCTTGCAGGTTTGCCCATCTGTATTCTGGACAATGGTGACCCTTTTGGTCACAACTGCTGTGCACTGCTGGTAAAGGACCACATTATATTTGTAAAATTATCTTTATCAATCAGATCTTTAATATCCCAACAGACAACACATTTTACTATGGAAGAGCAGATCTCACTACATGGGGACTGTTATCCTAGGAATGGCAAGTATCCTTGGCATTACCTCCCAAAAAGCTCAGGCAAAACCAGTTTTAACACAAATACTAAACAAGACCAAGCAGTTGCACAAGATCAGCACCCAGTTTTTCTGACAGCAAATCTTTGATCCCTCAGCATGAGACATTATTTTCTGTGGAGTTTTTTCCCCTTCTATTTTGATCACAGAATGAATTCATTGCAGACAAAAACATTTGCATAAATGCTGGTTACTGCTTCAAATAAAAATCCACAGGAGTATTTTTAATTCCTGGTTTTATTGGTGTTTCACATCAATGTGGTGTTGGGTTTGGATAGCCCAGAGACTTTGCCAAGGTGGAATTTAGCTGCACTTGAGCTGGTTTCCAAAGGGTTAAGGAAAAGGAAGCCTTGATCCAAGCCAGAACAACATAAGGTCTGAGAGGCTCATTAGTTCACTGGCACTTGATAGACTGCAGTGTCCTAGGAGGAAATGAAACCTGCACTTCCTTCTGCCTTTGTTCTGCCCTGACAAAAGAAAACTGTACCTGTTTTTGCTGGAAACAACTGACCTGAAAGTTCCCGTGGTGAGAGAGATTTCTCAGCGTGTGCAAAGTGTGAAATGTATTTTGAGAGGGGGAAAAAAAAGTTTTTAATTACTACTAACACTTCTGAGCCTTGAGCTGATGGAAGGATTGGAAACTGCTTTGCAGTCTCTCACATTCAGCTCCCATGCTGCTGGTGCCAAAAATGTGGGGTTTTTTAGCAATGCTGCAGATTTAAAATGAAATGACAATATTGTTAAAAAGTCAGGAATATAATTCTGTTCACATTACTGGATTATTTATTCCCACTCATGAAAAGAGTAACAGAGTTATTGAACTATAGATTGAATTTCAGAACATGAGCTGGATGGGAAGAAAAACAGAACAAGTGTGAAGCAAAAGACTAAAGGTGGCCCAAGTGTGGCTTCTCATCAGAAACTGCCCCAAAAATGCCAGATTTGGGCAAAAACTGGAGCTGGCTCCTCAGCTGCAGGGAGTGGAGGAATGCTCACAGAAGCAGGTGAGGACCAGCAGGTTTGGCAGCAACTGCAGAGGATGCAGACAATTAAAATAAAGGATTTGTGCTCCCCAGGAGTCAGAGCTGGAAATGGAGATGTTTGTTTAACTGGCAGCACTTGGTGCATTTCGTTTCAGCCAAATTTAGTGTAGCACAGAGCAGGTCATTCTCCTGAAAGAGCTACCTGCAGTTGATGATGCTGGAAACTGGGTCTCCTGTTTTAGGTAGTTGGGTTTAAAGCCCTGGATAAAAGAAATAAAAAGCTTTTAGCCCACATTTCCACATTTAGAATGACATCTCTTGAGCACAGAGCAAAAAAAAGCAGTTTGTCAACACAACCACTTCCAGATGTCTTCTGAAATGAAATGTTCACCCTCCCTCTTTCCTGGAAGATCTCCAGTACAAGATCAGGAGAATTCACCACCTTCCTTCCCTCTAGGTTAAGGTAACAAATCCCTGGATTTTTAAGGCTATCCTTAAAAATTCATATAAAATCCATTTAACAACGGGATACTGTAGCTCAGAGGCACCCCCTGTTACACTGTGGAGATCCTCTGCATCGCATTTTAGATTCCAGATTTGTTATATTGATGAAGAACAAAAGATTAAGAACTACAATCATTGACAACCTTCATTAATGTAATTAATGAAACACAACAGCATTGTATCACTTTTAAGGTTCAATACTTTATTTCAACTCTTCAGCACAGTACCAGATTCCAACTTCTCTACCCTCAGCCACTGTTACCACTACTAAAGAAAGATATTAAAGCTAAACTATATGCTCTATTAATTACAGGGAGGTGAACTTGAAGGGGAAATTTGTGGCTGGTGATGATTAATAATTACTTGTTGTACACACATGTAGTACAGTAAATAACCAGGGCACATTGTTGGGTAGTAATTGATTAATTAGCATGTTCATACTGGATAGCTCTGCGGTCTAAGATTGCTGAGTTTGAGATATTGCTGGCAATTATTGAAAGAAAAAAAATCTGTTTCCATTTCTCAGTTTCCTGGACTTTCTCCCCTCTCTCAAACAGAATGTTAAATGGTTCAAAACCTTAGCTTTTACTTAGAGAAATGGAATAGAGGCTGTGATTTTAAAGTATTTCTTTGAAGGTTTTTAGGGAGGTCTGGCAGGTAAGCCGGGTGCAGCTGGACACGCTCCTGAGCACAGGCGAGCCCGGCTGGGGCTGCAGGCGCTCCCTCAGCGTGTCGGTGTCAACAAAACCTTTCTAAAAACTCATTGTCCATTTTGTGGTGATGCTGCCTCTCCTCGCTCCGTGCAGGGCTCGGGGTGCTCCATGCCCCAGCATGGGCAGCTCCAGCACAGCCTCGGTGTGTCTGTTGCAGCTGGACACGCTCCTGAGCACAGGCGAGCCCGGCTGGGGCTGCAGGCGCTCCCTCAGCGTGTCGGTGTCAACAAAACCTTTCTAAAAACTCATTGTCCATTTTGTGGTGATGCTGCCTCTCCTCCTCGCTCCGTGCAGGGCTCGGGGTGCTCCATGCCCCCAGCGTGGGCAGCTCCAGCACAGCCTCGCTGTGTCTGCCACGGAATGCCAGGATCCCTGAGGCTGGAAAAGCCCTCCAAGGTCACCGAGTCCAGCCTGTGACCGATCCCAGCCCAGAGCCTCCAGGAATTCCTGGGACACTCCAGGGATGGGCGCTCCAGACCTCCCTGGGCAGCCCTTTCCAAGGCCTGAGCACCTTTCCATGGGGAAATTCCTCCTCCTGTCCAGCCTGGTGCAGCTCGGGACGATGTCCTCCTCCTGTCCCTGTTCCCAGCCCGACCCCCCGGCTGTCCCCTGCTGTCAGGAGCTGTGCAGAGCCACAAGGTCCCCCTGAGCCTCCTTTGCTCCAGGCTGAGCCCCTTCCAGCTCCCCCAGCCTCTCCTGGGGCTCCAGCCCCTTCCCTGGACGCGCTCCAGCCCCTCAGCGAACCCCCGAACTGAGGGGCCCAGACTGGGGGCGATTCCCGCTCCACTCCCGGGCCGCCGTCCCTCTCTGCTCCCGGGGCAAGTCCTGCTCCATTCCCGGGCAATTCCTGCTCCGTTCCCGGGGCTATTCCCGGGCAATTCCCGAGGCTATTCCCTCTCCCTTCCCGCTCCGTCCCGGCTCGGTTCCCGCCCCCGGGCGGCGCAGGCGCGCGGCGGGCGCAGGCGCGGAGCCCCGCGGGATGCGGGCGCTGCTGGGGGCCCGGCCCCGGCCCCGGCCCGGCCCGCCGCCTCCGAGGTGCTGAGCCAGCACCTGCGGCAGCGCCGCCTGCCCCACTGGACCTCGTTCTGCGTCAAGTACAGCGCGGTGCACAACGACCAGTTCGGCCTCTCGCACTTCAACTGGCCCGTGGACGGCGCCAACTACCTGGTGCTGCGCACCGGCTGCTTCCCCTTCATCAAGTACCACTGCTCCCGCGCCGCGCCGCAGGACCTGGCGCTGCAGGACGCCTTCTTCACCGCCCTCAAGGTGCTCAACGCCGGTGAGTGCGGCCCCTGAGGGGCGGCCTGAGGGGGCCGGGACGGCGGCTCGGGCCGGGCAGCTCCGCTCCGAGCCCTCTCCGTCTCCTTTTCCTTCTCCTTCCTTCTCCCTCTGTCTTTCCTCCTCACTTTGTCCTCTCTTTCCCCTGTCCCTCACTTTCTCCTGTCTTTCTCCTGTCCCTCACTTTCTCCTGTCTTTTCCCTGTCCCTCACTTTCTCCTGTCTTTCCCATGTCCCTCACTTTCTCCTGTCTTTCTCCTGTCCCTCACTTTCTCCTCTCTTTTCCCTGTCCGTCACTTTCTCCTGTCTTTCCCGTCCCTCACGTTCTCCTGTCTTCCCCCTGTCCTTCACGTTCTCCTCTTTCCCCTGTTAATCACCTTCTCTGCCCTGTCCCTCACTTTCTCCTCTCTTTCCCCTGTCCCTCACGTTCTCCTCTCTTTCCCCTGTCCCACACCTTCTCTCTTTCCCGTGTTAATCACCTTCTCTCTTTCCCCTGTCCCTCACGTTCTCCTCTTTCCCCTGTCCCTCACCTTCTCCTCTCTTTCCCCTGTCCCACGCCTTCTCTCTTTCCCGTGTCAATCACCTTCTCTCTTTCCCCTGTCCGTCACTTTCTCCTCTCTTTCCCCCGTTCTCCTCTTTCTCTCAGGTCCCCTCGTTTTCTCCTTTCCCTTCTCCTCCGTCTCTCTCCCCGTCGCCCTTTCTCCTTACTCCTCTTCTCTCTCCTTTCCCTCTCCTCCTCTCCCTCGGTCCCAGGAGTTCCCGAGCCGTGCGGGGCACAGCCGTAGCTCGGCCCTGCCGGGGCTTTGCCGGGCTCGTGTTGCTCTGACCCCCGTGGCAGCCACAGATCGCACTGTTGGTATTTAATCCGCTCAGCCTTCTGGCAGGGAGCGTTTTCCAGCTGGAAATCCGCCTGCCGGGGAGGAACTTCTGTCCTCTGGGCAGTTCTCAAGCGAAACTCTTTCAGAAAATAACCTTCTTTTCTGGTGCACGAATAGTCAGGCTGCTTGGATCCTAAGGTGCTGCTGGAATAGAAATTATTGTAATAAAAAAGCTTTATCAGCACCTTATTAATATAAAAGTAGATGTAGTTAAGTTTTGAAGTATATTACTCCAGAACTTTGGCTGCAGATTCAATGCTTATTTGAATGCCAGCATGGACAGTGTCAGTGCCATAACATTTCATGCATTCTTTATTTTCATGTTTAATTTCTTAAAATTTTCTTTTTTTCGTTAATCTTCAGTAACTTTTTCAAAACATGTCCACTGCTCTTAATTTTTTGACCTTTCCAGACTGATGCAGTGAGAAAATATAATCACAAAGATTGATTTCTTAATAGCATCTTTAAATCTGATTTTCTTTTCCCCTCCACCCAGTCACACCTTTGTTTTTCTCACAACTACCCTCATGTTTGATATTCAAATGATTGGAAAGCATGGTTAAAAAGGCCATTTATTTCCCTTAGAATCCTGCTTAAGGACTTGGCTTCAAGCATATTCAATTTAGTGTTTCCAAACTCAGGGCCTCAATCCAGCTGTTTTTTCCTCTGTAATGAACAGAATATTGTCTGTAATAGATGGATAAATTAGCAGTGCTAAAACATGTCAGTATATATATAAATATATATATATATATAAAAACCTTTTTGCCCATTGCAGTTCTGTTGGAGCTGGTAGTTTTGACTGCTGATTTTCCCCAGAGCAGCTTCATGTTGATTTATGGATTCACTGCCTATTTTTTTAATTTCTGCTCTGACATAGACTCCAGTAACTTAAGTGGATATTCTGGGAGTTTGGGTTTAGTATTTGAAGATACATATATATATGTTTGATCAATAGAAATCACATGTATGTGTCATCTGGGAGTTTGGGTTTAGTATTTGAAGATACATATATATATTTAATCAATAGAAATCACATGTATGTGTCCATATTTCACTTCTTTCATGTTGTTCTCCTCCTGTTTTCTTTTTCTGATAATTGCTGCTTCCTGCCTCGTGTCAACAGGAAAGGAGTTAAGCACTGATTGCTGCATTTAAATAAAGACAAAATATTTCTAAGGCAGCTTTTGCAGGGATGCTTCCCCTCTCAGTTCATTTTGGAGTCAGCACTCCTGGCTCTGAATTTGCAGTTTGCATTTCACTCTGTGTGTGTGTAACGTGTCTTTCTGTCTCCTCAGGCATCCCAACTTTGCTGTATGGAATTGGCTCCTGGTTCTTTGCCCGTGTCACAGAGACTGTGCACACCAGCCATGGCCCAGTCACCATTTATTTTCTAAATAAAGAAGATGAAGGAGCCATGTACTGAACTGAGTATCTGTCCTCTGGTGGGTTCTGTGCTGCAAATATCTGCTGCCTTTGACTAAAAACAACCAAAAAATTGGGTTTTTACACTGTGTTCTCATACTCAATGTGCTGTTTCAGGGAGCTGCCTGGACTTTTTGGTTATGAGAGATTTATTTTTGCAGAGGTGTGAGGTTGAAGAGTTAGAATTTCTGAGGGTGTGTCTGGAAGTCAGGGACTGGTGCTGTTGGAAAAACTTGTGATCATTTAAAGAATGCATTTATCAACTTAGAGAGCTGAAATGTAGCCTGTGGGCAAGGAAACTGTGATTGCACTGACATTTTCAGAGTGTCCCTGAAAAGATAAAGCTGCTCAGGTGTGGGTCCTCTCTAGATATTTCATATTGAATTAATTGTCACAGGGGTAACTGTGTCTGAATAAACCCTTGGCACTGAGTGGTCGCCATCACCTGGAAGAGCCTTTGGGGGAAAAAGCCCACCTTAAAACAAATACAAAATGGTATTACATTTCTTGAAATGGTATTTAAATAAAACATCCAAAATATATTTGATGCTTGTATCTTCTGCAATTCTTGAGCTCCGGATGTGTGTTGTTATTTTTCTTTTGATTGCTTTATAGGTTAGTACAAAATCTAAGTGATGTAGAAGATTTAGCCCCCTGTGTTAATTCACAAATTGCTGGTATTTTTACTTAATGGGGAGAATGAGAAGAATACTACAATAATATCTCAAATTTTGGATGCAAAATAACTGATTTTTCCTTTTGTAACCATGCACATTTCTAGGCACAAACAATGACAAAATGACTTCATATCAGTTGGAAACCTGGGCAAAAAAACCTCAAAAAACCAACCAAACAAACGAAAAAAAAAAAAATAAAGCTTTTGGGGAACTGTTTGGATAGTGGAATCTGGAATTAATGGAAGCAGGAAGACCTGTGCAGGATCCATTGCTGGTGCTGGGATTTAGTGCCAGCAGTTAATGCTGTCAGTTCCAAATCCCACAGCTGGTGATGGAAGTTGGTCATCCCAGTTCTCATGAGTCACAAAAGAAATGTGGAATGGGTAGGGGCTGGTTTGAAGGGTAATCACTTTTCCTCAGTAAATGATTATCAAGCTATGACTACAGTAGAATATCATTTAAATACTTTCTAACTCCATTCCAGATAACAGAAGTGTTTCCCACTTAATGAAGCAACATGTGTGGCTTTTCTAAAAGCAGCACTAACACTTTAATCAGAGAAGTGCTTGCACTGTTACATTTTGGAGAATATTCTTGCCACAAGTTAAATGCCTCAGAGCAGCAGAGGTGGCATTGCAAGAACCCTCGTTAATAAGAAAAATTGCAGTTAGCATTTTCCTGGAGCTGATTTTCAGTGCAGCCCATAAGTTTAAAGTCAAATACTGCTCATTCACTGCCACACAGCTCATCAATACCTGGCTGTAAAGGTTTAGGCTCAACACAAGGTTGATAAAATGGTTTTTAATTACCAGCCCATAAATACAGCTGTTCACTGGAGCTGCAGCTCCTCTCCCTGCAGCTCGTTTGATTTCTGATAATGGGCACTGCTGACTTTGCTTACCTGTTTTCCAATAAGTGCAGCAGCACCCGCTGGCCCTGCAGTGATGGGCAGGGCTCCTTGGAGAACATCCCTGACAAAGTGCCCTATTGATTGCTGCAATTCCGTGCTGCTTGCAGCATTAAATAGAGCCCTGATCTCTTGTTCAATGATCTCACTGTGTAACAATTAAGCAAATGTAATATTTTCTTGTATTACATGAAAATCAATGGACCTCTTGCTCTTAGGAAGTTGATGGTGCTAAAGGATGAACTGGGAGATGGCTGAGGGCAGAGTGCAAATATGGGGTGGCTCATTCCTTTCTTGCACTTCTTCAGAGGGAAAAGAGCTCTTTGCAAGGGATAACACGAGTTATTAAATCATGATGAAATCATTTTCATGTGTGACTATAAACCCAGCAGCTTGTTTTCAAAGGTACAGCGTTGCATCTGACTTCCACTCTTGTTTTGCTGTAAATACCAACTTCTTAGCCTCTATTTTTTATCACTCAGGTTTTGGCCTGAATGCAAGATATTGAAGGCCAGGAAGATTTGTACCACCCCGTCTCAAAAACTTCTGCAGCACTCAGGGCTAATTGATCCACAAGATGACCCTTTTGACTCCTGACAGATTTGATTTGCTCTGCCTCCCATTCAAAACAAAGTTTAGTTCCCCCTGCAAGCCTCGCCTTAATTATCTCTTTGCTGATGTTTAAATGAGGCAGAGATGACGTCCCAGAGCTTTGTTCCACCTCCCTTAACTACTGCAGAGAAAGGAAAGCCGAGGATCAGGTGGCTGCACCTCTTGAAATAATCATGATCCTCGTGGGCACCTGGAGCTGGAGGAGCTGCTGCTGTCACCCCTCGGCCGGGTCAGCGCGCTCGGGTGTCCCAGTTAAACTCTGCTGCTGTCACTTAATGGGAAATGCAGCTGCCTTGCTGAAAGATCAATGTCCAATAAAGGCTGCACAATCAAATCTTGTTGCAGTGATTGAGGTGCTTAATTGCCTTTCAAAGATAAGGTGGTAATCAACACACGTTCAGCTGATCTTTTTTACCGCTTCAATTACACTCTAATGGCAGAGCCAAGGCAGGATCTTTAACTACTTATACTTATTAAATCTTACGTGGCTTCTGAAAAATTACTTAAGCCACGCAATCGATAAAGCCCAGCTCTTAATTACTATATTTCACTTTTAGGCCTTTTTGTATGCTTGATAAATGTTTCACCTGAGACTCCGTGGTGCTAATGAGTTACCCCAAGAAATGCCCTTTGCTGTTGCTGTCTCCAAATTGTGCTTAAACATTGGTGGGGTTGTCTGGTTTCCTGAAGTTTTGGGGCTGCTGATGCAAACGTGGTCCAGGCAGTTAGTTTTATTTAAATATTTGAGATTTAATATCACTTTTTATCACCCATTGATGAACTGTGTGCAGGTGGACCCAGTTCAACACAAAGTTCTTAACTTTTTTCCCCACTGTAAATTAATTCTGGATTTAAAGACTGGATTGGAACTCCTAAATATTTATGATTAGTACTCTCATATTGTTTGAAAAATCAGTTTTTGTGCACTTTTCCTGCTCCCCTCTCTTTCCCTGGAGCAATATCCAGAGCTTTTCTCCTGCTGACCTTCCATTGACTTGGGCAGAATTTAAATCTGTCCTCACCTTACCTTGTGTGTTGACCTAAATCTCCTCACAAACCATAATTATAGATCTCCCTGATGTATGTTATTATTATTGAATGAAATTTAGGTATTTTTTAATAGTTGAATGCCCTTAGGGCTCTGGTTTAGAGCAACTTTTCCTGAAACAAAGGGGATTTTGCTTCATGTATTATTCACTGTGGCCATTTAATTTATATTGGCTTTTGCTGTAACCCCTTAATCATGTTCACTACAGAAAAGTGAGTTAATAATTCTGAGAGTTGTCTCAATTCCTTTCCCTATTTCTGGAAATAGAAGTCATGATTTAGATTTTGGGCTGTATTTTTCAGTTTAAATACACCTCAGAACAAGTGGCAGCTTCAGCACTGCAGCCAGGGAATACAGAATAATAATTGTTACTAATATATTGAAGTTTGCTTGAAAGATTTATTTCTATAAAGAGTAAGATGTTGGTTTTGCATTTAAGTCCTAAAAAGTCGAATACAAACAACTTAGAGTGATTTTGAAAGTAATTGCATCACTTTAAACACAGTTTATGAGCCCTGTTGTAGTTCATTATAAAACCAATTTATTTCTTGCAGTGGTATTAATAATCCTAATAGAATTAAAAGTGGAAAACATGATTAAAAGCAATCCTTCAGACAAAAACTCTGATCAAGGGAACTTTCAAGTTTAAAATGTAAGTATCAGATTAGAACACTGATTTTTGAACAAGATTACAAAGTCAAACCTGGTTTTTTCCCCTTAAAAGAAGAAATGCCATTAGATGTGATTGTTACATGCTCAGTGATTCATGGGCCTGCTTATGTACTTTGTGAGATATGAATTATTTAGGAAGAAAAATCACAATAATTTTGTTGTTACTCAAGAATTTATAGGTTGACAGAAAAACAATTATGCAGCCCCTGGAGCTGGTCTGAAGGGGTACAGGAGCATCATTAACCACACACAGCCCAACTGTGGAACTGTGGAGTTACCTTCTCACTGTGCAGCACAGAATCTGCTTGTTTCCAAAAGTTATTCACAATTTCCAGCAAAAACAAAATATTTACTAGTTTAGCCTAACCCAAGTTCACTGTTGTTATGTTTCAGTCTGATTTGGTTTACTGTGAAAAAAGAGCTTCAAAAGATCTGCTCGAGGCCAGTGAATTTCCCTGTGAACTGAAAATAAGGTGAATTTATTTCCTGCTATTTGGGTCCCAAACAGCCCTTTCTCTCTCCAAACTGCAGAGTGCCTGGGAGGGGCAGTGGGACTTGGGGGAAGTTTTAATGCCGTTTTTAAGGAATCTGAATTTATCCATGGTGCACTTGGTGAGTCTTTCCAGGAGATGCCTTTCAGGGGAGAATATCTTTAGAAAGCCTGGACACTGCTGACCTATTTTTCACCAGCCTGAGGGAATTCAGTTTGCTGCACTCACAGGCAATTGGAAGGGGGAAAAAAAAAGTGAATTTCACCGTGGTGTGTTATTTATCAACAGAGAAAGCTAGATATTAATATCTTTCCAAAAAGACAGGAAAATGTGTGCTCCTTAAACAACCATCAGGTGCCATTTTCTGCAGGAAACTGAGAATTTGTCCTTTATTTATAATTGCAGCTTAGAAACTGGCTCAGGGAGGAAGCAGGGATGATAAATTGACTTTGGTGAACCAAGGGCTGGCACAGAGATCCTGATTCCTCCAGGTGTGTGTCACACTCAGTGTCTGAATTACAGGTAAGGTGGCACAGCACTGCTAACAGCAGTATTCCAACATATTTTCACTTAAATGGGAATTATTTAGCCTGTTACCTAATAAATACACATTATTCCTAGGTCATACATTATTTACATATTATCTATATTATATTATTTTAATATTATTTAATTTATTAAATAATTATATTACAATACTATATTATTTCTATATTATATTATTTTAATTATGACATATTTGATTACAATATTATTATATCTTATATATTATATATTTTTTATATATATATATATATATATAAAATACATTATTCCTAGGACAAAGCTGGAAAAATTCTAGTAATAATGAGATTATTGGAGATGCTGAGTAGGATCCAGAAGGAAATCAGCATTTTCTGCCTCTCTCCTTCTGTGCCTCCTTTTATCCAAGGGATGAGTGCAGGACTGGAGGAATTGGGAATCCCAGTCTTGGTTTTGGTTCACTGCTGGGCATTTTCACCCATCCCATCCTGGGAATGAGCTCCCCGCTCCCTCCTCAGGCCAGGAAAAGCTGAATCCACATCCTGCCACAGCAATATTCAAGAGCAGGGCCAGGGGAAGCAGCTCTTGCTTTCCTCCCTCTTCTTTTTACACAGTTCTGCTGGAGGGACCCAAAACTCCATTCCAGGGTGTTTGTGACAGAGCAAAAATAGGAAATTTCTTGTGCTGGGCAACTTTGCAGTGGGAATTAACCAAGTAATAACTTCTTTCCTTACTTCTGCACTAAATCATCCTGCTGAGCAAACCCCTGGCAGACAGCACTTTTCCATCCTCACGGAGACTCTGCCAGATTGGAATGATGTTCCTCCCTCCCGTGTCAGCATGCTGGAAATAACTATTTATTTGTGCGTGGCCGGCGCGGGATGCTCCCGGCGCTCCAGCGGCGCTGCAGAGCAGCAGAGAGCAGCAGCACACTGCAAGTGGCAGCTGCTGGCAGCACCCAGGAGCTCTGCCCCCACAACAAAAACCTCCATTTGCACAAGCTGTGGGCTTCACCATCCTGCAATCAAAGCAGTGACACCTCGCTCCTTTGTGGATTTTGGGTGGTGCTCCCTTGCGGGTGAGCAGTAATTTTGGAGATGCTGTTATAAATGTTGTGTTGTCTGCATTTATCAGGCTTTTAATTATTTAACTTATTTTTTAATGAGGATTCTGGAATCCTTGTACTGGGAACTTGAACTTTTTACAGGGAGATTCTTGGGCTACTCAAATGCAGAACTTCAAGAATGTTTTATATTAAAAAATCATGGATTGTGTTCTCGCAACACCAATTTCCCCCCACCGTTAAGGAAAATTATAAAAAGAAATGTTGGTGACATCTCATAGGAAAGCTTCTGCAGGATGATAAAATAAACATCAATGATTTGTTTCAAATGAAAATTTCTGATTAAACTTGGGTTTTAAAGAAGTCTGTGGCAAAACCAAACCTGTATTAATAAATACGTGCTCGATGTGCTGTACTTCTTAAGATATAAAAACCCTTCAAGTTTGATTACACAAATCAGAATGGGGGATTAAGGTTGTGATTAGCCCTGGAAAATCGACGTAATATTTATGCAAATTTGGCAAATTGAGTTGGTTTTCCCCATAGTCTCATAAATGAAGAAGACATTTCAGAAAAATTGCAGGTCTATAGAAATTCCATCATTTTGCTTCCTATTCTTTAAAATTTAATAGAAAATGACTGTGATTGAAATGGAGCTGAGTGAGAGGTACACAGGGACTGCAGGTAAAAGGTTCATTTGAGCAGAAAGATGTCTGTGTGGGCACCACCAGTCCCTTAGATCCTCAGGAGCTGGGGCTCCATTAATTTTTAGTATAGGAACTAAATTATAAAGTTATTGAACAGAGAGAGAATTTATCTCTGTTAATGGCCATTGGATTTTTTTTTCTTCCTAAAGCTCAAACAAAGTAGAATCCAAATATGAAGAAGCTTGAAGACGTTTCAGGAATTAAATATACCTCCCATTCCCCCCCTCTAAATTGATAAAATAACTCAAATAGTCCAGTTTGTCAGAGATGATAATGTGAGAGAGTGTGATAAAATGCACGGATCAATAGCCCACAATTGAGATTAATGCTGTTCTCTTCAAAAAAAAAGGAGAGGATTGTTTTATGCTGCAGAGCTGTGCGGAGCAGAGAGCTCTCCCTGTGACTTGTGGCAGGGAAAGGCTTGGTTGAAAAGCTGAATTTGGCGTTTTGTGATGGCAGAGCTGTCAAAACACTGTCTTTGTTGCTGAGGTGGACAGGGATTTTCTCTCATCAGGAAGATGGATTGTGGTTTGGACCAGGCTGATTTCAGCCGCATCCCTGACACGGAGGGAACTCAGAGATGGCAGAATGCACCTGGACATCAACTCCGGAGAGCTGGGACGTGGAGCATCCGTGAGGTGTGTGACAGTGCTGGCACAACTCCCCGAGCCCTTCCCTCACCTGCTGCTGCAGCTGTTGGGCTGTCCCTGAGCCCATCCAGAGCCCATTCCAGTGTCCATCCAGTGCCCATTCCCAGTGCCCATCCAGAGCCCATTCCCAGTGCCCATCCAGTGCCCATTCCTGGTGCCCATTCCCAGTGCCCATCCAGTGCCCATTCCCAGTGCCCATTCCAGTGCCCATCCAGTGCCCATTCCCAGTGCCCATCCAGTGCCCATTCCCAGTGCCCATTCCAGTGCCCATTCCCAGTGCCCATCCCAGAACCTGTTCTCAGTTCCCATTCCCAGCACCCATTCCCAGTGCTTATTCCCAGTGCCCATCCCAGAACCCACTCTTCTCAGTTCCTGTTCCCAGTGCCCATTCCCAGTGCTCCCAGCACCCGTTCTCAGTACACATTCCCAGTGTCCATCCCAGTGCCCATTCCCAGTTTGCTCCGCAGGGACAGCGGGGCAGGGATGGGCAGAGCCGGGCACGGCACCCCCGAGCCGCAGCCCCAGCGCCGCAATGCCCGTGTCCCCGAGTGCCACACTCGGGCATCCCTGGGCACTTCCAGGGGCACGGACTGCCTGTGTTTGTATTTCCGTTTGTATTTGTGTTCGTGGTGGGACAGCCCGCACGAACCGCGGCCGCAGCAGCCCCCGCCCGTCCCTCCGAACCCCCGGCCGCGCCGCGGACCCTGCCCCGCTTCCAGCGGGAATCCCGGCCGGGCTCGCCTTGAGCCGCGCTTTTCTGTCACAACACAGGGCACAAACAGAGGAACGCAATCACCCGCGGGGCCGGCCCGCCCCCGGCGCCGCCTCCGCTTCCCTCTCCTCCTCCTCGCCCTCCTCCTCCTCCTCCCGCTGCCGCCGCACATCCCCTCCTCCCGGGGCGCCGTTTTGGTTCCGGGGCAGCGGCTCCTTCCTGCGGGAGGGCGGTGCAGGCTGTGCCCGGCCCGGCCCGGCCCGGCTCGGCCCGGCGGCCGCAGCATGTGAGCCCGCGGGGCGGGGATGCTCTGGCTGCTCTGCGGCCCCTGCGGCGCCATGGACAGCCAGGCGCTCGTCATCCGCATCAAGATCCCCGACGGAGCCGCCGTGGACTGGACCGTGCACTCCGCGCCGCAGCTGCTCTTCAGGGATGTGCTGGTGAGTGAGTCCGGCCGGGACCGGGACCGCCGAGCCGGCCGGGGGGATGTCACCGGGACCGCCGAGCCGGCCGGGGGATGTCACCGTGACCCCCTCCCGGCCCGGGGGATGTCACCGTGACCCCCTCCCGGCCCGGGGGATGTCACCGTGACCCCCTCCCGGCCCGGGGATGTCACCGTGACCCCCCTCCCGGCCCGGGGATGTCACCGTGCCCCCCGTGCCGGCCCGGGGATGTCACCGTGACCCCCTCCCGGCCCGGGGATGTCACCGTGCCCCCGTGCCGGCCATCAGGCGATGCCGCCATCCCCGCTCCGTGCGCTCGGGGTGTCCGAGCCCCTCCCGGGATGGCGGCAGGTGTTTTTGGTGTGTGTTTCGGAATGTCCGGTGGGAGGGTGGTGTTTGTCCCGGGACGGCGCCGGCGTTGCAGGGTTTCGGGAGGATGCTGCAGGTGCCGGGCAGGGCCATCGTGCCCTGGTTTGGGCTGGCAGGAACCGCTGGAGTCCCCAAATCCGCCCCTGCCGTGGGCAGGGACACCTCGGGGTCAGGGCATCCCCTCCTCCGTGCCCCGGGGTGGCCGAGGAAAAGCGGTGCTTTGGGAAGGAATTCCCTGCTCGGGAGAAGGCTCTGCCCTGGCTGGGGCCGCAGCTGCCCGTGGTGGCATGTCCCCTCCCGGGCTGGGCTCTGCTGTGCCCTCTGCCCCTCAGCCCCTTCCTGCTGGGGTGGTTTGTCCGTCTGCACACAGGGATGCTGTTTGCTCAGGAATTGGGAGTGGGTGTCTGTGTGTCCCACTCAGAAATGGGAGTGGGTGTCTGTGTGTCCCACTCAGAAATGGGAGTGGGTGTCTTGTGTGTCCCACTCAGAAATGGGAGTGGGTGTCTGTGTGTCCCACTCAGAAATGGGAGTGGGTGTTGATGTTTGTCCCACTCAGAAATGGGAGTGGGTGTTTGTCCCACTCAGAAATGGGAGTGGGTGTCTGTGTGTCCCACTCAGAAATGGGAGTGGGTGTTTGTCCCACTCAGAAATGGGAGTGGGTGTTTGTCCCACTCAGAAATGGGAGTGGGTGTTTGTGCGTCTCACTCAGAAATGGGAGTGAGTGTGGTGTGTCCCACTCAGAAATGGGAGTGGATGTGTATCCCACTCAGAAATGGGCATGGATGTTTGTCCCACTCAGAAATGGGAGTGGGTGTTTGTGTATCCCACTCAGAAATGGAAGTGGGGTTTTATCCTATTCAGAAATGGGAGTGGGTGTTTATTGTTCACCCCACTCAGAAATGGCAGTGGGTTTTTATCCTGTTCAGAAATGGGAGCGGGTGTTTGTTGTGTACCCCACTCAGAAATGGCAGTGGGTTTTTATCCTGTTCAGAAATGGCAGTGGGTGTTTGTTGTTCACCCCACTCAGAAATGGCAGTGGGTTTTTACCCCCCTTGTTCCCAGCTCTGTCCTTAGCCCAACGAGCAGCTCAGGGTGCAGGTGATGCTCTCTGCACCTGCCCTCACCTCTCCTCCCCAGCCCATCCCAGGACTCTGTGTGCCCCATTTCCCTAAAGAAACCCTTCCCACACCACCCCTCAGGTGCACCTTCAGTTTTTATTTCTATTATCAATGCTGGAGTGAGATTTAGCAGGTGCCTTTCAAGGTGTTGCTCCTGTGGAAGGACACGTGGGGAGGGAGGGTTGGGTTGCTGGAAGATGCTCAGCGTTGGGCCTGGAGGGCTGCAGAGCTAACTGGAATTGCAGACAGAAATCCCAGCTGTCCTTTTCCCCACATTCAGCATTTTCCACGACTTTCTGTAGATGGAGGAGTGGGAGCAGAGCCTTTGACAGAGCAGGAGGTTTTTGGGAGGGGCAGTTTCCCCTCGGTGGTTGCACAAAGCCTGGGGTGACCCTCTGTGCCCTTAAACAAAAGTGGAGCAAAAAATGGACTCAAAAAAAGGGGACTCAAAAGTGAGGCTGGTTTTCTCCAACTCTTGCTTCATGTTCTTCATTTTTTCCCCCTCAAAAACAAAGTGAAATTACCCCTGATTGTTGGACTCTCCTTTACCATCCTGGAATTACTGCAAATTCAGGCTGGTTATTTAAAAGTGACGAGAGAGGCCAGTGGGTGACAGAGGATCTGGGGGGGCAGCAGAGCTCCTGAGTGGGGAGAGGTGAGGAAGGAGGGCAGGCAGGCCAGCTTGGAGCTTGGCACGTCCCAGAGCTCCAGGGTTTTCATGCTGAGGTGGTTTTTAAGCAGGGATCTGGTGGAGAATAAGCAGAGTGACCATGAGAGGATGATACCTTGCTGGATTTGTTAAAAATCAGAGCTTCTGTCGTGCTCATGATGGAATTGGAGCATGATTTGGGTTAGAAGGGACCTGAAATCCCAGCCCAGGGACACCTTCCACTGCCCCAGGCTGCTCCAGCCTGGCCTGGGACATTGCAGGGATCTGGGACACCCTGTGCTGCTGTCGAGAATAAGCAGAGTGACCATGACAGGATGATACCTTGCTGGATTTGTTAAAAATCAGAGCTTCTGTCGTGCTCATGATGGAATTGGAGCATGATTTGGGTTAGAAGGGACCTGAAATCCCAGCCCAGGGACACCTTCCACTGTCCCAGCCTGGCCTGGGACATTCCAGGGGTCTGGGGCAGCTCTGTGCTGCTGTTCTGTCCTGTCCCACCTGTGGAGATGATGAGAATTTCATTTATCCCCTGTCAGGCTGTTGCAGTGAGGTGTTGGTGGTTGTGTTTCAGGAGGTGCCATCCCAGATTCACCTGGACTTGATTGGTCAGATAAATACAGCAATTAAATAAAATAAATTAAAATGAATTGAGTAAGGCTCCAATCCACTCAGGGATGGTGGGTCAGATAAATACAGGAATTAAATGAAATCAATGAAAATAACATAAATAAAACAAATAAATTAAATTAAAATAACATAAATCAGCTCAGGAGTGCTGCGTGTGTGCCCACCTGGGGCTGCCCCTCCTCTCTGCCCTGGGGGTCATTGCTCCCACCTGCAGGCACTTCCAGAGGGTTTCAGGAATTTAATTGCTGCAGGAACAATTAAAGAGCCTGGGGAGAATTCAGGTGTTCCCTGCTGAGGTCAGTCCCTGGGGAACAGCAGTCCAAGGATGCCCAGGGGTTTTCCCAGGCTCTGAAAAACCCTTTTGGGGCTGGCTGAGCTCTCAGGCTCCATCCCACCCGTGTCCCCAGGGGTTTTTGGGATTTTCTGTCCTGCTGGAGCTGCACAACCACATTTAGGGCCAGACCAGGAGCACGTCCCAGAAGCTGCACCCAGGAGAGGTGAATTTGGCTTTTCTTCCCCAGGTGGGTCCCATGGGCTGCTCTGGGTTGAGAAAGCCCCATAAAATTCTCTTTGAGGTTATATTTTATATATTTAGATGATTTTAAGGTGATTTTCTGGGATTTTCTGTCCTGCTGGAGCTGCACAACCACATTTAGGGCCAGACCAGGGGCACGTCCCAGAAGCTGCGCCCAGGAGAGGTGAATTTGGCTTTTCTTCCCCAGGTGGGTCCCATGGGCTGCTCTGGGTGAGAAAGCCCCATAAAATTCTTTGAGGTTATATTTTATATATTTAAATGATTTTAAGGTGATTTTTGTTAATTTTGCATTCCTGTGAGTGTAGCCTTGCAGCATTTCAGGCTGGTGAAATTATTATTTCATATTTTCAGGTGATTTTTAAGCTGATTTTCATTAATTTTGCCCCTGAGTGAGTGCAGCATTTCAGGCTGGTGTGCAGGTGTGTTTCCATCCTCATCTCCAGAGCTGTTCTTCCTGGTGTCACTTGAAATAAGTTCTGTGTGTATCAGCTTTGCAGGCCTGTGTGTTACCAGTAAATAGCTTTGTTTTTAAGGCCCCACTCAATGAATTACAATAAGCTTATTTTTCCCCTCCGTCTGTCTGCATTCCTCCTGTCACTGGTATTTAAGCACTGGCTGTTAATTCTGGGTAACTTCCCGTTGTCATAGTGAGATAAAACAAATTTAATTTAATGTGAGTTCAGTATTTACCCTGGGTTCAATATTTACCCTGGCATCTGAGCAGAGCTTTCACATTTTCTGCTTTCTCACCCGTGCTCCTCCAGAGAACAGATCTGATCTGGAGTTCCTCTTGCACCTGCTGTTCCCTCATTTTTCTCCTCATTTTTAGGGGCTTTTCAGTTCTGTATCCCTTAGATAAACCCACTTCAGCAAGTGGGAGGAATTTTATTATAAAATGAATGTTATATTATATTTATTATAAAATAAATATTATATTTATAATATAATAAATATTATATTTATTTACTAGAAAATAAAGATATTATTTTATTTTTCTTTTATTATAATTATATATGAATATAAATTTAATATATAATAAATTATAGACAATATAAAATCTATAATATATATTTAATATATAGAATATATAATTTCATAATATAAAATATATGAGTATTTATTATATTCTACCTCCAAGTTGGGAGTATTTCATTGCTCTGATCTCTGTTGTGGTAGCAGAAAATCCCCAGTGCACGTGTAATCCTTTGAGATTTGCAATAATCCTTTAATCCTGGGTCAGCGCGGGGTCTGGGGGTGGGAATGGGTGGAGCTGCTGCAGACACTGGGGATGTCACAGGGAAGGGATGTCCCTGCCTGCCCTGCCAGCCTGCCTGCTCTCAGGTACACTCATTTAACGGAATTATTGTGGGCTGGGCAGAGCTCCGGGGGCTCTTGGTGTTTGTTCGGTGCAAGAGTTGGGGTGTGTAATTCACTTATTGGTTATTGATTGCTTTCTGGTTATTAGTTACTGTTAAAGAAGTCTCAATACACAGAAAAAGTTATTCTGGAGGGGTGCAGATAAGATAAAAATAAGGTAAAAATAAGTTTTTTTTTTAATCACTCTTTCAGAGCTTTGGGGTGTTCGGAGTTTTCAGAATTTTGAGAATTTTGGAGCTGTCAGAGCTGCCTCTGAAGCTTCCACACCCCTTAAATCCAGTTTTTAAACAGTTTTAAAATCCATTTCTTAGAAGCATCTGTGTGCCCATAGATGAACATCGACAAGGGGCTTCAATCTAACAGAATTAAAGTGTGTTTGCTGAGGAATTTCCAGTATTTAATGAATGGATTTAGAGTAATTAGTACAGTCTTCTGTGCAGGCAGGACTGATTTCTTGTTGGAAATAGTGGCTTTTGATGGAGGCTGGTAACCCTGGAGAATGGAAGAATTTTTATCAACATGGAAATATTTTGAGGGTTTTTTTTATTTTTATTTTTGCCTCTACAAATTTACAGTTCCACAATTAAGCCCCACTGCACATTTCTGGTGTGCAATTAATAGTTTGAACCACAATTCTTGATTTATTTTCACATCTGAGACACCACGAGAAAGTTTTGTGTTTATTATGTGCTTCAGTTGGCTCTGTGGCAATCCTGTGCTGCTCTCACATCTTGTTAATTGTGACACGGCATCTCTGATTTCATCCCTTTCGATGAGGGAGAAAGCAGAGAGAGCAGAAGTGGCAGGACATCCGTGCAGCTTTGCCAGGGGCTGTGGGGCACCCCGAGAGGCTCCGGGGGATGTGCTGCAATAAATCCTGGCCTTCATTCATTTCTGCAAGTTCATTTTTCCTGGGGTGGCAGGGGGCACCACGGAGGGGCAGAGCCACGCTGGGCAGCGTGATGTGGCTCCTCGTGGTAAAAGCTGGGAAAATGGTAAAGGAGCTTCTCTGGTGCCAGTGAAAAAAGTCTGGGTTGGAGCAGGGGTTTGGAGTTGGAAATGTTTTGGCTGGAAAAGTGGTGAAATCTGGGAAAATTGTAAAAGCTCTTCTCTGGTACCAGCAAGAAAGGCTGGGTTGGAGGATGGAGTAGTGGTATGTTTTGGGTGGAAAAAATGATAAAAGCTGGGAAAATGACAAAGGAGCTTCTCTGGTGCCAGTAGAAAAAGTCTGGGTTGGAGTAGGGATGTGGAGCTGGAAGTGTTGGGGTGTTTTGGCTGGAAAAATGGTGAAAGCTGGGAAAATTGTAAAAGCTCTACTCTGGTACCAGCAAAAAAAACCCCCAAACTTGGGTTGGACCAGGGATTGGAAATTTTGGTGAAAAATGGTAAAAGCTCTTCTCTGGTACCAGCAAGAAAGGCTGGGTTGGAGGTTGGATTGGAAATGGAAGTAGTGGTGTGTTTTGGGTGGAAAAAATGATAAAAGCTGGGGAAGTGCTAAAGGAGCTTCTCTGGTATCAGCAAAAAAATCTGGGTTGGAGCAGGGGTGTGGAGCTGGAAGTGTTGGGGTGTTTTGGCTGGAAAAATGGTGAAAGCTGGGAAAATTGTAAAAGCTCTACTCTGGTACCGGCAAAAACACATCTGAGTGGGGATTAGGAATTTTGGCTGAAAAATGTTAAAAGTTCTTCTTTGGTACCAGCAAGAAAGGCTGGGTTGGAGGATGGATTGGAAATGGAAGTGTTGGTGTTTTGGGTGGAAAAAAAGTGATAAAAGCTGAAAAAGTGATACAGGAGCTTCTCTGGTATCAGCAAAAAAACCTGGGTTGGAGCAGGGATGTGGAGCTGGAAGTGTTGGGGTGATTTGGCTAAAAAATGATAAAAGTTCTTCTTTGGCACCTGTCAAAAACATCTGGGTTGGAGCAGGGGGTGGGACTGGAGATGTTTTTGTGTTTGGTGCTGTGGAGCTGCCTCAGGTTCTGTCTCTGCCTCTTTGGGGGTTCCAGTGAGTTCCCCCTGGGATTTCAATGCATCTCTGAGTTTTGGAGAAGTTCACATCCCAGGTGAGGCACACAGAGCCCTCCAAACAGGAGAAAACGGGTTTTTTTAAAGCAAAAAAAAATTCATAAAGCTCTTTTTGTGCCTGGTTTTGATCAGTTAGGTGCCCATTTCTTTATAACCAAGGAAAAAATGGATTTTTTTCACCTGCAGGAGCAGAGAACACGGAGCTGTTTGCAATTAGGAGGGAATTATTTGGGAGGAAAAGAGTTTCCCTGGAGGAGAGGAGAAAAATATAACAGGGGCAGATTTGTGTTGTGCCCTAAAAACTTCCTCATCTGGGGCAGTGGGGAGGGGTTTCAGTGATTTAAAGCCAAGCAGGCTTCTCCCATTTGATATTTAATGAATTTCTCCTTCCATTTTCAGGATGTCATTGGTCAAGTTCTGCCAGATGCAACGACCACAGCATTTGAGTGTGAGTGTGACTTTTGTCAGCCAACTCCTGTGTCAGGCTGCTGGGCTGTAACTGAAATAAAGAAATCTTTTTTATGTTCTTCTTATTATATTCTGATTATATTTATTATTTTAAAATAAGTGGCATTCATTATACGTCAGGGTTAAATATTTATGCATTAATGCAACTTTAATAATGGCACTAAAGCAAGCAATATTTTATTATTTAATCACATCTGGAATATTTCCACAAAGTAGCTTTAATTACCAGCCTGACCTTACCATGCTCTGACTCCTCAGTGCCATTTTATTGCTCAAATTAAATGAAAAGTATAAACTACCTGTAGGTCTCAGCTTAAAATTGTAATCCTCCAATCCTCCCAGCAAGTATTTAGGCTAATATTTGTTCTTTAAACCCTGATTATTTTTATTTTTGAAGGGGTTCCTGGGGGATTGTCCTGTCTGGAGGGCAATCAGCTGCAAAGGGGAGTGCCCCAGGGGATAAAATACTGAAAAACTGGAGTTTTCTTCCAAATGGAGGAGGCTCCTGCTGCTCTCTTTTGATTTTTATTGTATTTTTCCCTCTGTTTTCCTTTGAGATGAAAGGAAATTATGATTTTTATTATGCGTTTTCCTCTGTTTTCCTTTGGAGGAAGGGGATGGCAAGATCTGAGTGAGGGGGGACAGAGCACACTTGAGATGGGGCCTCTCATTTTTATGATTTTATTTTTATTTCTCCCCTTTTTAGAGCTTTGGGGCTCATTCTGTGTGTGGATAATCAGAGGGAACACTGATTTATGGTACTTCAAGTCCTATTTAATGCACTTTTTCTTCCCACACGTGTTTTTCCTCTCCCAAAACCAAATTTGATTTCTGAACCTCGGTGTTTTTCCTGCCCTGTTTTTACCAGCAGCCCTGAGCGTGCAGAGCCTTGCCATTTATGTCTTTTTTCACTTGATTCTGTGTTATTTTGGTTTCTCTCTGCGTGCCATCCCTCCCAGGTCCCTCGTGAGCTGTGTTTGAACTTCATGCTCCATCAGGGCAGCACCCACAGGAGCTGTGCCATGTGCAGGAGGCTCCTGCAAGACTCTGCTGTTGGTTGTGCCTCCCAACATCTGCTCCTGTGCCTTCCTGCGTGTCTCTAGTCTGTCATTTCCAGCTGCTGAGCCCATTCCCTGCCACTTAACTGCCAGCTCAAATATGTTACGGATATTGATGCCTTTAAAGGGTTTTTTTTTTCATTTTCCCCCTGGATTTTCCTGCTTGAAGTTCCGTTGTCCATCTCTGCCTCAGGTGGGGGTCGTGGTCTCCACCCCAGCTTTTTGTGCTCTGCAGTTTGGTGTTCCCAGCCCCAGATTTCCCTGCTCTCCAGCCCCCTGCATCCCCTGGCCCTCAGCATCCTCCCTCCCAGCCCTGCATCCCCGGCCCGGCAGCTTTGGGGGTTTTGCTGCTCAGGGTTCATTTCCCATCTGCTGCTCTCTGCTTCTCCTGAGCCTTTCTTCCTCCTCTTCAAGGGCTGCTACAAAATCCAGCCAGGACGGGGGGATTTTTGATTTTTGCTTCTACTCTTGCTTCCCTAATGTGCTGGAAAATCAGATGTAACTGCTCTGGGCAAGGAGAGAAGCCTGGAAATGTTTCTGGATCCATTTTTGGGAGCTCTGCTCAGGTCCAGGACTGGTTTTCTTCTGGTTTTACTCTTGGCTTGATTAGATTAATTTTTATTTTTCTCTGCCTCTTCATCCACATATTTTTAACTCTTTCTGGTTTTGCCACCATCAGGAATTGTGCAGCTGGAACTGAGTTAATTCCTCAATTATTTCAAAGGCATAAATAGAATTTTTCTAAATATTTTGCTACAATGTTCCTTTTTTTTCCCTTTTTTTTTTTTTTTAAATGGTCCCAGGTCAGTCTGTTCCCTCTCCCCAGACCTTTTATCCATAAATTAATCCCTCTTCTGCCTTCCCTGTGATCCCTCTTGTGGATGTGTGGTGCTCCAGTAGCTCTCTTCCTGTTTTAAACTCCAATTTTGAGGGGTTTATGTTTTACTCTTCTGCATTGCTTTGGTTTTTTTTTTGTTTTGGGGTTTTTTTTTATAATTTTTGGGGTGTTTTGTTTTTTTTTTTCATTATTACCTTTCCAGAGGCAGAGTGAACAAAATCCTTTTCTCACATGGTTTGAATTCCTTGGCTTGGATTTTTTTTCCCCCCAGATTCTTGGTTTGGTTTTTTTCCTCCCTTGATTCTTGGAGGGTTTTTTTCCCCCAGATTCTTGGGAATTCCAGCCTGGGGAAGGTTTAGGGAGGGAATTCCAGCCTGGGGAAGGTGCTGAGCTTCAGGAGAGGTTCTGGCACTAAAAGAACCTGCTGAGAGTGCAGTTCTGAGCACTTTGTGCCCTTTGAAGACAAAACCACAATTCTTGTTAATGCATATTTGCAGCTTATATACAATTACAGTTATTATTTCAGAGTCCTCGTGCAGCTGGCCTTTCTGGTTTAGACTTTTCATTTTCTTTGCTGCTGTAAGCCAGGTAAAGCCTTGCCTGTCAGGGTTGTCCTGTCCTTTCCCTGCTCACCTGGTGCCTTCCTCTGGCAGATGAGGATGAGGACGGGGACCGGATCACGGTCAGGAGCGACGAGGAGATGAAGGCCATGCTGTCCTATGTGAGTACACTGCCCCAAACCCTCGTTCCCCCCGTGTTTGTCTTTTTCCTTGGTGGTTTTTTTGTCCCACAGTGTTGGGCTGGGCCGTGGCCCCGTGTTCAATCCCAATTTTTGGTGTTCTGCAGGGAGTGGAGGTGGTTTCACACCAGATCCGTGGACAGGCTCGACTTCAAAAAAGAAAAAAGACTTGTTCACTTACTGATCATATCATAAACATTAAGAATAATGCATCTTAATGACTTTTGCATTAGGTATAGTGCAGGCTAAATGGACTATCAATTTCTTGTATTTTTTATGCAGTACTTAAAGTAACGGCTCATTAAAAATGAACCCCTGGGCTCTAAAAATTTTTCAAAATCTACTTTCATCTGGAGACTGCTTCACCCCTCCTAACAGAGGAGTTTCATTGTAGCTGCAGGCTCAATATTCAGAGAGGATTTAAAGATGTATTTGGTGTTTTTCCAGGGGAGATGGATGTGGCTGTGTGTGCCTTGGTGTAGGTAGGGGTGTGTGAATCTGTCTGCATCCCCAGAAACAGAAATAAATATATCCCACAGACATCCATCTCCTGCACAAGGGGAAGGGTGCAGTCACTGATGGCAGCACAATCATTTGAATAAAGTGGAGGAAAAAAAAATCCTTGAACTTCTCTTTTCAAAGGAAGTAAGCAAGAGGGTGAAAAATGGGGATTTTCCCTCTGAGCCAGAAGGATCAAAATTCCTATAAATGACCTGGCAGAGCCAAGAGGGGTGATTTTGGGGGAATTCAGGGGATCCCAGACTGGTTTGGGTGGGGAGGAACCCGAATTCCCACCCAGGGACAGCTCCCAGTGTCCCAGGCTGCTCCAGGATCCATTCTGGGGATCCAGGGGCAGCCACAGCTGCTCTGGGAATTCCTTCCCCAAATCCCCCCCAAATTTCCCCTTTACTACTCTGAAGCCATTGCCTGGGTGCTGTCCCTCCCTCCCCTGTCCCCATCCCTCCCCAGCTCTCCTCCCTGGATCCCTCCCTTCTCCAGGGGAGCATTCCCAGCTCTCCCAGCCTGGCTCATCCCATGCTCCCGGTGCCCTTTTGGGATTTTGCTGTTCCTTTTGGGATTTTGCTGCTCTCAGCCCCTTTTCCCTCCCTTTTTGTGTCCAGCAGTTCCCTGGAGACCCCTCCCCCCAGAATTCCTCATGGTTCTCTGTTTTCCTGGGAAAACCTCATCCATTTTTTGCCTTTAAAGTGGAAAACTTTGGGTTTTCCTGGCGCAGCCTCCAGATTCATCGTGCCTTGGGAAGGTCATTTTTTTGCTATGCTTCCAAGCTCACTGTTCAAGTTTCAGTACATTAGAGTTCTGATTGCCCAACTCTCTGCTTTCCCTGCAAAATTATGGGATGCCTGGAAATGACTTCTTTCTGCTTCAGCAGCTCTTCTTCTTCTCTGAAAAATTTTTTCTCCTCAGTTTTAAACTAGTTTTTTATTTGAGTGTTGCACTGTGGTTCCTCACATCCTATGGGCTTCGTTTTGGGATGTGTTTACCAGGAAACAAATGTTCTGAGCCTAGGAAATGAATTGATTTCATGATCTTGGGGAAGAGAAATACTCATTTTGAGGCCTGCAACAAATATTTGGAGGATTGGCCAGCTGGGAGAGGATTTCAGGGAATGTTGATGTGGTGCAGGTGTTCTCTGAAATGTAAATAAAGTGGATTTTTTTTTCAGTTTAAGGAGAAAAAAAAAATTCCCTGAGATTAGACTTTGAAACATATTATAACTGTGAGGATATTTGGGGTCATTTTGATGTTTATTTGGAGTCATTTTGATATTTATTTGGGGTCATTTTGATATTTTGAATAATTTTGAACCTTCCCTTTAGGTTCTTTGCTTTATGAATTTGACAAGAGCTTAAATCAGGTCTGGAATTCTCTCAGATTATGCAAAAATGCTTTGAATTAGGCTGATTTTGGGGGGTGTAAATGGGGTTTTTCCAGTGCTGGGCAGTGCAGTTAATTAAGGACAGCTGCTCTGGAGCTGTTGTCTTGTATCTGTATAAAAAGGCAGTAATTTTTTTGACAGCCACTGATTGGAAAGTTGCTTGCAGCTCTCTCAAAGCAAGGGCTACATGCTCTGGATCAATAAGTGGCAAATTTCCCATTAAAAAGAATACCTGAACAATGTTCCAAATAGCCACTGGCATCTCAATTTTCCATGGAAACCTCCAGTGCTGGCGTGTGGAGGACAAGTCATTTTCAGACAATTTTTCCAGACTACTTGTTAACAGTTATTGCTGTCCCAAAAGGTTGACAGCTTACATGATTGATATTTCATTTACTTGTCATCACTGGTGAGTAATGGAGAGGGATTTTCCTCCCTCTATTATATTTTTGGGGGGGCAGGAAGCACTCTCAGGTGTGTTTGTTTTAGCTGGTTATTCCAGGGAGGGATCAGAAGTGTTTCTGTTGTGTGTGGAGATGTCTGCAGGGCGTGGAATTCTCTTGGGGAAGTGGGAATTCAGAAGTTGAGAGCTCATCCCAGGGGCAGGGAGAACCCAGTCCCTCCCCAGCTCTCCTGGAGCCCTTCAGGGGCTCTGAGCTCTCCCTGGACCTTCCCTTCTCCAGGGGAACATTCCCAGCTCTCCCAACCCAAGCATCCTGCTGGATTTTGATGCTCTCAGCTCCTTTTCCAGCCCTTTTTGCCCATTCTGAGGTTTTTTTAACCCACAAACATCCCTGGATCCCTCCAGCAGCTCCTGGGGAGTTCAGTGTCTCGGGATGTCTGCAGGGACTTTTTGGGGTCCCAGCTCTGGGATCCCTCTGTGCTGATCTTCACCACTGCCAGAATTCCAGATCCCTTTGGCATTCCCTCGGGGTTTTCCAGCTGCTCTGTTTTGGGGGATATTTGGGGTTTGTTTGCACCAAGTCTTTGTGGCCGTGTTTGGTTTTCCTGGCTCCTCCAGCTGCTGCATTTGCTGTCAATATTTCATGCTGAAAAGATCTCATTTCCTCAGCTGCTGGAGCATTCCCAGGATTCCCTGCTGAGGCAGGAGCAGATCCCCGTGGCCCCACAGCTCCTTTTTTAAACCCCTTTTTGTGGGAGCACTGCAGATGGAAAGGAACCATCTGAAGGCTGATCTGCACCGTGGCAATTACACAGAAAATGAAAATACACAGAATTAAAGGATCCATAAGTGCTTTTACCACTCCTGGGTTACTGACTCGTCTCTTTTTTGGGTTTTTTTTGCAGTATTACTCCACTGTGATGGAGCAGCAAGTGAATGGACAACTGATAGAGCCCCTGCAGATCTACCCCCGAGGTAATGGGAGCAGCTCCCAGTCATCACCAGGTCACTGGGGCTGGAGCAGCTCCCTGGCACGTTCTGGGGAGGTTGGAATGCACAGAGCATCCTGTGTGCCTCTTCATCTGCAGAGAGGAGTTCATTCTTGTGGGGAGCGTGGAGAAAAGTGCATTTATTGCATAGAAAGCAGCTAATTTCCTGGAGTAAATTAGACTAACGAGCTTTGCAGAGTACATATTTAAGTACATTTAAAGAACTCATTGGTGATGGCTCTTTGCAGGCAAAGCAGATGAATAACTGAAGACTTGGATACTTATGAAAATTGGGTTTTTCAAGCTGTTTGAATGCCATTAATCAGCCCTGCCAGGCTGGGGAATGTCCCTGTCACCCTGTGGGACGTGTCTGTCACAGCAGCTCCAGCCAGGACACGTTTTTGTCTGAGATCTGGGCCCTTAGTGCTGCCCAAATATTCACAAGCACCTCTGTAATTCTCCTGAACAGGGAGAGGTGTAATCAATTCTGTGGGCTGAGGCAGTTAAAAAATAGGTCATCTCCAAGCTGACAAAAATCCGTAGGCAGCTGGGGAGCTTTTTTGGGAATGCTTTCTCTGAGCTCCAAGAATGGTTGGAAAAAAGCCTCCTGCATTACATAATTCATTCAGATCTCAGCAGCCAGGCTCTGAATCTCTGCCTCTTAATTGATGGGACTGAGAAGGTTTAAATTCTCCATCTCCCAGCAATAAATTAATTGAAATAATTAAAAATTAAACTCCCCTCACTTAACTGATATTACACAAATAATCATACTATGAGGCTCCCAATTAAACATTCCACACTTCCATTACTTACAACTCTCTGAAGTTTGAATTGGGCAATTAACCAGGAGCCTCCTCAAACAGTGCTAACGAGGTCTCCAAAGGAGGCTGGCTGGGATTCCTGGGGGCTCCCTGGCCTCCTCTGGAAGGGGGACAGGAGTTGGAGGGGTTTGTGGGAGATTGGGTTTCATGGAAAATTGGGGTTTGTGGGAGATTGGGTTTTATGGAAAACTGGGGTTTGTGGGAGATTGGGTTTTATGGAAAACTGGGCTTTGTGGGAAATTTGGGTTTGTGGAAACTTGGGTTTGTCTGGCTGAGGCCTGCAGGGTCTGGTTGGGAGGGGGCTCCAAGGTGTGGGAGCTGGGACCTCCTCAGGGCAGGGAGAGGGAGGGAGGGGTCTCCTGCCTCTTCCCAGGCACGGATCATGGAGTCCTGGAGTGGTTTGGGTGGGAAGGACCTGAAATCCCATCCCTTGTAATCCATCCCATCCCATGGCAGGGACACCTTCCACTGTCCCAGGCTGCTCCAGCCTGGCCTTGGACATTCCAGGGATCCAGGGGCAGCCTCAGCTGCTCTGGGAATTCCAGCCCAGCCTCTTCCCACCTGCCAGCCAGGAATTCCTTCCCAATCTCCCCTCCCTCGCTGCCCTATCCCATTTAAACCATTCCCTGTGTCCTGTCCCTCCATCCCTTTCCCCAGTCCCTCCCCAGCTCTCCTGGAGCCCCTTCAGGCCCTGGAAAAGCTCTGAGGATTCCCTGGATCCTCCTCTTGTGGCTCAGAGAAACTGGATGATGCGATTAGGCTGGAAAATCTTGGAATTTTCCTTTAAGTGTTTACATTTCCCTGTAAACAGCCAGCCCCAGGGAGCGCTGCCAGGAGCTGCTCACACCCGACCCACCCCGGGTTTAATTTTTAATTTTTCTGAGATTTAACCCTCTCCCTTTGGCTCATTCCTGAAGAGCCAGCCCTGGGAATTCCTCCTGTTCCTGCTGCTGTCTGCTAGGTGATCTCTGGCTGGGCAGAGCTGGAATTGTCTCAGTCCTGCCCCAGCTCAGTCCCCCCAGCCACCTGCAGGTCCTCCCCCTGCCCCAGCCCTGCCTCTCTGCTGCCTTTTCCTCCTTCCCACTCCCTCCATTGCTCCAGAGCTCAGCTTGGGCTTCACCTTCCCAAACCACTCCTTAAAACCCCTTTTTATCCTGGGTTAGAGCCTTCAAACCCCCAAACCCACCCCTGAGCTCTGCAGCTCCTCTGAAATACCCAACAAAATCTGCTTTCCTGCTCTTTTTTTCTCCTTTTTTTCCCTGTTTTCTTGCTCTCTTTTTATTTTTTTTCCCCTTTCCTGTCTCCTTGTCCTGCCTCTCTAATGAACACCCCAAATTTTGGCAGCCCCTTTCTCCTGTGCCCTTCTGGCCCTGGCTCTCCACGTTCCCCCTTGAAAGCCCAGCAGCACCTGCAGCTTTTCTGCCTCTGATTTCCACTTCTTCCCTTTAAAGAGATTTCCTTGCAAATCCTTTGAGTTCTTTTCCTTTTCTGTCTCTCTTAACTTCTGAGGAAGCCTCAGTTCCTGCTCCCAAAACTCCTGTATTCCATTAAAATCCTGTCAGGAGTAAATTTCCATGTGCCAACCTCTGTTACCTGGGCTGTGCTTTACTTATTTCATAACAAAAAGATCTTTAAGGGAAAAAAAAAAATTGATATTTTCTCTATTTTTTTAATAGGTTTATTATTGCTGGTTAGGTAGTAAGAGCCAGAGGGGGATTTTATATTAAAAATAAACATCTATATGTGGTGTACATATAAAAAATGTGTGCACACATATATGTCTGTATATATTTTTATATATCTCTATATATTTATAGATTTATGTATATATTAATATATTTTATACACACATATAAATAGACATATATGTACGTATATACATGTGTATAAATTAATATATTTTATGGATATCTACATATTTTTACAGATATCTACTTATTTTAATAGATATCTATGCATTTTTATGTATCTATTTTTAATATATATATGCTAATCGAAGTGTATTTTTATATATCTGTGTATATTTTTATATATATCTACATATATATTTATATGTACTTATAGATATTTATATCTGATATATGCTAATCGAAGTGTATTTTTATATATCTGTGTATATTTTTATATATATCTTCATATATTTTATATGTATTTATAGATATTTATATCTATTTATCTCTATCTTTTACCCATGTTATTTACATCCTATTTGTGGAATGCAAGGTGAACACAGCATCCAAATGCACCCCATAAAAATCATTATTGATTGAATATCTTGTTCAAAATGTCAATTTTTCATCTATTGGCAAAGCAGGATGGGCTTATATATGTATTTCTAATTTATCATTTTGGGTTATATTTATTTAATATGTAACATTTTCCCTCTTTGGATGCACGTGGTAATTTTGGGTGTTGTTAAAGGCACGTGGCCCTGTGTTCAATAACCATCACCTGTGTCCTCCTGCCTCATAAATAGTTCTGCTTCCTGCTGTCAGAAACAGGAGGGAGGAAAAAATCCGATTTGTGCCCTCACTCAGCAGTGACAGCCCCTTTAGCACAGCCCTGCAGGGCCACGATTGTAGCTCTGCCCCAAAAAGTCACGTTTTCAGTGGCATTTATTCACTCTTTACCTGTTATTTATTCACTATTTACCTGTTATTTATTCACTATTTACCTTTTATTTACTCAGTATTTACCTGAGAGACTCACTGCTGTTCCCCTGCCATGGTTTCCCCCTGTTTGTGTTTCCCCCAGGGGTTTTCCCCGTGGTTTTGCCCCATATTTACCTTTGATTTATTCAGTATTTACCTTTTGGAGGCTCAGCTGTTGCCCCAGGTTTGGGTTTTCCCTCCCAGGTTTGGGTTTCCCCCCCCAGGTTTGGGTTTTCCCCCACAGTGTTCCCCAGATTTGTTTTCCCCCATGGTTTTCCCCATATTTACCTTTGATTTATTCAATATTTACCTTTTGGAGGTTCTGCTGTTGCCCCTGCCATGGTTTTTGCCCAGATTTGGTGTTTCCCCAGGTTTCCTCCATGTTTACCTTTTATTTATTTTATATTTACCTTTTATTTATTTGATGGGAGGCTCACTGCTGTTACCCCTGCCATGGTTTTCTCCCCCCTGTTTTTTCCCCCCTTGTTTGTTTTTCCCCCATATTTGTTATCCCCCACATTTACCTTTTATTTATTCAGTATTTACCTTTTGGAGGCTCTGCTGTTACCCCTGCCGTGGTTCCCCCCCGGGTTTGGGGTTTTCTCCCCCCCCCAGGTCTGGAGTTTTCTCCCCCCCAGTTTTGGGGTTTCCCCCCAGGTTTGGTTTTCCTTTTTCTTCCATGTTTTTCCACCCATTTCTTGCCCATTTTCCCCCACATTTCTTGCCCGTTTTCCTCCACATTTCTTCCCCCTTTCCCCCAAAGTGCCTCTGCCAAAATACCCAATTCCTGATGCAGCCAATTCCCTAAAAATCCCAATATTGGATTGTAAATATCCCTGTGAAATTCCATGGAAAAAAAAACCAACCCAGCTTGTGAAAACACAGCACCACAAGGCTGCAATCTGAATTACCCAAAAATCCCCTGCTCTGAGCCGAGGCTTCTCTGGGTTGTGCTGTGTTCTGAGCAGAAATTAGAATTTCCATTACACGGTGTCAGGAAGCTCTTAGCATTTATAAATGCTCACTCCTGCAAGTTAAAAATCCTGGGCTGTAATTCCCACTCTGGGTCTCGCCAGGCACTTTTCAATCATTTCTCTCTGCTAATTTTGGTGTCACCCTCATTTCTTTTGAAAAGATTCATTTTGAGCAAATTTGTAAATGGCCCTGATGTGTTCTACAATTTAGTCAATTACTGTTTCAGCCTGCAAACCTCCTGGGAAACGGAACATACATGGCCTCAAGGTACGAATTTCAATAATTGTTTCAGCAAAGTTAGATGGATTTGTAATGCTGTGTTCCACTTATTGAAATGTCAAATAAAACTGCACTTTCTTGAGCTCTGACAAGCAGATTTTTTTTTTTAATTCTGATTTTTTTTTTTTCCTTTGGCGAGGGTGGGAGAAGGATTCATCTGCAAAATGTTGGCTGTGATATCTATATTTGTATATGTGGTTTTATTAAGAATGGGTTTGCCTTTTTGTTTTTAACCTCTGCTAATCATGTTCTTAAATTTTAGTAGTTCATTTATCAACTGCTGTCTGCCACTACTTCAAAGCTTTTAAACCCCCACCTCATTCCTGTGATTTCAGCCTTTATCCAATTGTGGGAGGCACCACAATGGAATTATTTCACATTTTTGACTCCTTATTGCTCCTACAATCACACGGAGAAGCCCATAAACGCATGAAGTGATTTTTGAGTATCCAAAAGGAGCATAAATCCTGAATTTCCCAGCACATTCCTCAACCCCTGCGCGCGGAATCGTGCATCCCGCTAACCTACATCCAGCCCTCCACCAGCAGCACGCCTAGCAACCAGCTAATTAACCTTGCTAGCGAGACGAGGAATCCGTGGCAAACGAGAGGTTAATGAGCAGGGTGTCCTGCGAGCAGGGCTCTGCTCAGGCTCCCCTCTGTCCCCGCAGGTGAACACGCGGGCGGGGGCCGGCAGCGGCGCCTCGGCCGCCTCCGAGGCCCTCCCCAGCAACAGGTAAGGCCTTCTGCTGCCTTCCTCCTCCTCATTCCGTGGTTTGGAACCCAAAATGGAGCCCGAGCTGGGGCTGGTCCCGGGAGAGCTGGGGCTGGGTGGGTTTGGTGGTGGGAAGGTGGAATTCCCGTGGGTGGCGTTGGGCTGGGGATGGGGGCGATTCTTCCCGTGGGTTTGTGCTGGGGAGTGAGGGTTGGTGGGGATGCCGGGGTAAATTGGGTTTGGTGGTGGGGAAATTGGGGTTTGGTGGGGATGCTGGGGGAAATTGGGGTTTGGTGGTGGAGAAACGGGGGGTTGGTGGGGATGCCGGGGGAAATGGGGTTTGGTGGTGGAGAAATTGGGGTTTGGTGGTGGAGAAACGGGGGTTTGGTGGGGATGCTGGGGGAAATTGGGTTTGGTGGTGGAGAAATTGGGGTTTGGTGATGGAGAAATTGGGGTTTGGTGGGTGTTCCAGGAGGAAATTGGGGTTTGGTGGGTGTTTCAGGAGAGAAATTGGGGTTTGGTGATGGAGAAATTGGGGTTTGGTGATGGAGAAATTGGGGTTTGGTGATGGAGAAATTGGGGTTTGGTGGGGATGCTGGGGGAAATGGGGGTTTGGTGATGGAGAAATTAGGGTTTTGATGGGTGTTTCAGGGAGAAATTGGGGTTTGGTGGGGATGCCGGGGGAAATGGGGGTTTGGTGGTGGGGAAATTGGGGTTTGATGGGTGTTTCAGGGAGAAATTGGGGTTTGATGGGTGTTTCAGGAGGAAATTGGGGTTTGATAGGTGTTTCAGGGAGAAATCAGGGTTTGGTGATACAGAAATGAGGATTGGTGGGGATTTCAGGGAGAAACTGGGGTTTGATGGGTGTTTCAGGAGGAAATTAGGGTTTGATGGGTGTTTTCAGGAAGGAATCAGGGTTTGGTGATGGAGAAGTGAGGGTTGGTGGGGATTCCAGCGAGAGAAATTGGGGTTTGGTGTGTGCTTCAAAAGGAAATAAGGGTTTGCTGTGGAGAAATTGGGGTTTGATGGGTGTTTCAGGAGGAAATTAGGGTTTGCTGCTGGAAAAATGGGGTTTGGTGGGTGTTTCAGGGAGAAATTAGGGTTTGCTGCTGGAGAAATCAGGGATTGATGGGAATTCCAGGAAGCAGGTAGGGTTTGATGGGTGTTTCAAGAGGAAGTTAGGGTTTGGGGGTGGGAAAATTAGGGTTTGCTGGAGATTCCAGGGAGAAATTAGGTTTTGATGGATGTTTCAGAGAGAAATTAGTGTTTGCTGCTGGAGAAACAAGGATTTTGGTGGGTGTTTTAAGAAGAAATGATGGTTTGTTGGGTCTTTCAGGAAGAAATAAGGGTTTGCTGGGAATTCCAGGAAAAAATAAGGGTTTTCTGCTGGAGAAATGAGGATTTGCTGGGTGTTTCAGGAAGAAACAAGGATTTGCTGGGTGTTTCAGGTGGCTCTGAGTTTAAAAAGCCCTGAGGTGCAATTTGGAGCTGATTCCTGTGGCTGCTGCAGTGCCAGGGTCTGTGCTCAGCTCTTTGTTGCTGGTTCATTCCAGGACTCCTTGATTTGAAAGTTTAATTCCCTTTCATAGGTTTGTACCAATAAATAGCCTAAATAATAAACTTAGGTAGGTTTGTTAGGGTGGGGTAGCATTGTTTAAAAATCTTTTCAGCTTAGGTGCTTGTTAACTACAGTTACAGCAAGTTTTGGAGTCCATCCCCCTTATCTTGCTTTTTACTTTCCAGCCCTAATTTGAAAACCCATATTATGGTCTTAAAAGGCAACAAAACTCATTCTCTTTTTTTCTCTAGAGATTTGTTTTTCAAATGCTGGAGGATAAACTCCTTTTTATTACATGAATTGTTACAGGAAGTCATGATGCTGATGGTAAAAACTACCAAAAAATCTTCCTGTATCCTTAAAGAGAAATAAGGAGGGTCTGGCTCCATCTTCTTCCTACAAGAGCACATTGAGCCATGGGAATAGAATTCTCTGGAGGCTCCTTTCAACCTAAATTATTCTATTATTCTAATAAGCTGACAATATTCCATTTATCCATGCATCAGCATCCTGCTCCCTTTTCTCCCTGAGAAAAAGGAAGAGAAAAGGGGTGTTGTGAAGATGCAAAAGGTGAATTACCTTTTTAATGTGAGCAGAGGGGCACACTTGTGGTGTTCTGGGCACGTTTGGAGGGTGAGTTTTGGGGGCCTGTCCTGAGCCTGGGACAGTCCCACAAATCCCATTTCACTGGGGGAGATTCCAGCCTCAGCCAGCAGCAGGGCTGGCGTTTTTCCCCACTGGAATCCCCATCCAAAAACCAGTAATCCCAGTTTGCTGCTGCCTGTGGTGGCTCTGTCATTGTGAAGGTTTTAAAAAACCCCATCCTGGCAAAGTTTGCCCCGTCCCAAAACTCTGAAATGAAGAGGAAATAAATCTGAGTATCTCTGTGCTCTGCAGTCCCCCCAGGCTGAGCTAAATAAAGCTGATTTTTCTGTCACTGCTCGTGCTTCCTTTCAGTACCTCCTGTACTTTGAGCTTCTTCTTCAAGTGCATTGAAAATGAAGCTTCTAGAAGATTCTTGTCACCTTATCTGGTGGTTAATTGCCATTCCTTTTCCAAAACCTTCTGCACCAGGAGTTTTGTTTTTGAAGTAATTGAAAGTCTCTCTTTGTTTCATGTTCACAAATTGTTAGTCATGAAAGATGACAAGATCAACTTATGTTTCCTTGGAAAACTTAATTTTTCTTTAAAGCAGTCGTGGGAACAAGAGGCCTATTAAAGAACAAAGCCACCAAATATGAAATCTGTGTTTTCACTGTTCCTGTTAATAATGATCTGTGATCAAGACACGTGCACAGCCCTTTCAAGAATATATTATTTTGTACTTTTTTTTTTTTTAACTTCAGTAATAAGAGCAGAATGTCCCTTTGAGATGAAGTTTTGCAGACGTTGCTGCCCTGGCAGTTTGTTGTGTTGAAGGAGCAGAGTTAGTCAGGAAAGGAGAGGAAAAAACAGGATTTTGTGAGTTTTTCAAGGAGTTTGAGGGCATTGAAGGTTTCACTCTTTAACTCACCAGGCTGAGAGGGGGGCTTGGTGAAGTTCTTGTGGAGAAATTAAAGTGGGGGATTGTTGTGTTGGTCTGGGGTGGATTCTCCTGGAAAAGCCAAGGGAATTAAAATGAGTTTTGTTTATTGGTTTGGGGTGGATTCTCCTGGAAAAGCCAAGGGAATTCAAGTGAGTTTTGTTTATTGGTTTGGGGGTGGATTCTCCTGGAAAAGCCAAGGGAATTGAAGTGAGTTTTGTTTATTGGTTTGGGGGTGGATTCTCCTGGAAAAGTCAAGGGAATTCAAGTCAGTTTTGTTTATTGGTTTGGGGTGGACTCTGCTGGAAAAGCCAGGGGGCCCAGCAGAGTGCCCTGGAATGGGAGCCCATGGAAAGCTGGGATTTCCAAACCTCCCCTCGGGGATTTGGGCACGGCCGAGGTCCCAAATCAGGAATTCTGCCCCAGGCTGGGGTCCCTGGAGGAGGTGACATCCCTGGCAGCACAGCCTGGAGCTGAGATCTGCAGGAATTCCTGCAATCATGCTTTGGGAGCTCAGAAACCAGACCAGTACAGGAAAACGGGGCGTGAGCCACATTTTCCTGTGGTTTTTTAAACCCCCTGACCATGAGAGCAGCTTTATTTTAAATTTCCCTCTCAGAGCTGGTGAGCAGTAGCTTGTGTCCCTGCAGGTTGTGCAGTTAGGTGTCTAAACCAGCTGTAAGGTGGAAAATACATTGATTTAAAAATTTTCTTTCTTTATTTTAGCTGTTCATTGCTTGTTCATGCCTGCTGCCTGCAGCTTGGCAGTGCTGGCTGGTCTCACCCCACCTTCCCCCTCAGGTTTAATCTCAGCACATGGAACCACAAACTTCCCTTGTTCCTCTCTTTGTCTGACAGAGTGAAATGTTAAAAAGAATTGTTTCTAATTTGTTTTTTTTTTCCTTCTCCAGCTTGAAGAAGTCCTCTGCAGAGCTGAAGAAGATCCTTGCCAATGGCCAGGTGGGTGCTTGGGCTGGGGCACATCTCATGCCTTGGTGCTGCTCCCAGCTCATTCAGCTGTAATTTGGTTTTTTAACCCAAAATTGGGGGTCGTGGGAACGTCCAGGGTCCTGATTGGCTTTGATTGGCACAGAAATTTGCTCCCCACGTCTCAAAATCAGCTTTAGCTGCAAATGGATGGGGGCCCTCAGTTGGTTTTGGGTAACTGAGTTCCCTGCTCACTTGTCAGCCTCACATCAGAGGTGGAAATGAGATTAAATACTTGGGGTTTTTGTGTGGAATAGTTGAATTCTTGTTGAATTCTTTACTTAGTGTATTGTTAGAACCCTGGTTATTGAGGATTTTGGACTTTGTGCAGTGACAAACCCTGACCCCCAAGAGAACGCTGCATTTGACCTGAGAGTGAAAGCTTGACCTGAAAGTGGAGAAAGCTTCAAAATTAATGGATAAAACCAAGATTATGTGTGTGCTTTGGTTAAAAGAGTGCAATAAAGGATGCACAGTTACATTTACAGCAGTACCAGAAGGTGCAGTGCATGGCTGTAATTGGTTAGGAGCCTGCTGAGGTTCATTCCACTGGCCAGTGTGTGTTTATTACATTTCTCTGTCTCTGGGTCGTTTACATATTTTCTTCATGGATTCTTATGGGATAGAATTCTTGTTTTTGCAGGTGTAACCTGGTTTTTTTTTCACAAGAATAGGCTGCTACATAAACTGATTTTCATCCTTGGAGTTCATTTCTCACGGGAGCTCAGCAGGCCAGTTGTTAGTTTGGTTAAAATAGCAATAAGGCCTGGCTTTACACTTTACTGTGAAATAAATTTCTTTTATAAGGTTTTATTTATGTGCAACAAATGACCTTTGTGAGGTTTAGGGCAGGAGATCCTGAACTATTTGGCAGGTCCTTGCAAGGAACCTCTCTGGAATCACTTCAGGATTGTGGATTTGGGCTGGCAGGGATCCCAGAGCCCAAAGTGAAAATCCTCTTCCCCTGGCCCAGGGAGCTCCAGGCTCTGGCCTTGGACACTCCAGGGATGGGCAATCCAGAATTCTCAAGCAGCCACATAAATATGTCTTAATATATAAATATATTTTATATTAAAATAGAAAAACAAAATAAATATATTTAAATATATTATGTATGTTTATAATATATTAATATAAATAAATATATTTAATATATCCATATATTTATATATGAATGGATAAAATATAAAAATAAAAGAAATATAGAAAATACATTTATTTTATATTTATATAAATATATTTATATATGAATGGATAAAATATAGAAATAAAATATAGAAAATACATTTATTTTATATTCATAAAACCAAATATAAAATATATTAAAACAATAGGTATTTTATATTATATGTACATATATTTTTATATTCAAATGAAATATATTTTAATATATTAATATATTTTATAAATAAAATTGATAAAGCTAAAACAAATATTCAAATATATTTATTTTGCATTTATTGTATATTTATAAACCAAATAGATACATTTTAATATACACACACCTTTGTCCCAGGCAGGACCTGTCCAGGGGCTGCCTCTTAGGCTCCATTGCCTGAGACATCTGTGTCACTGCAAATGAAAGGCTCTCATTGATTTCCCTAACTGCCCTTCACTCCCCAGGCTGAGATCTTCATTAGCTCAGCTCCTGTCAGTGCTGCACTCGGGGACTCCCCAGGCCCCCCTGGCATTCCAGGGGTTTGGGGCTGCCCTTCAGCCTCACCTGGCACATTTTGGGGGAAAAAAGAGAATATTCCCCTCCAAAAATGAGATTTTTCCCCTCCAAAAATGAGATTTTTTCCCCTCCAAAAATGAGATTTTTTCCCCTCCAAAAATGAGATATTTTTCCCCTCCAAAAATGAGATATTTTTCCCCTCCAAAAATGAGATATTTTTCCCCTCCAAAAATGAGAATTTTCCCCTCCAAAAATGAGAATTTTCCTCTGCCAAAATTGAGGTTTTTTCCCCTCCAAAATCGAGGGGTTATTTCCTCTCCAAAATTGAGGTTTTTTCCCACTCCAAAAATTGAGGTTTTTTCCCCTCGCCAAAATTGAGGTTTTTTCCCCTCCAAAATCGAGGGGTTATTTCCTCTCCAAAATTGAGGTTTTTTCCCCCTCCAAAACTGAGATTTTTTTTCCCCTCCAAAACGTGAGCCCAGCGCTGCAGAGTCCCTGGGATCCAGCTGGAAATGGGATTTTAGGCTGAGTTCAGTGTTCTCAGATTGCTGCCAGGTGATTTTTCGAAGTATTCCAGAATTCCCAGGTGAATCCTGTGTTTCCCTTGGTGGTTTGTGATCCTGGCAGTGGCAGCAGCAGGAGGCTGAGCTTCTAAAGCAGGGTGGGGCTGACTCTGATAGTCCTGATTTATTTTAAAGTGATTTATTGTATTCTTTACCCCCAAATGTGAGTAAAATCTCTGTGTGCTTGGCTGAATTTGGCATTTTATTTGTTCCCAACTGCAGAGAACAAGTGGTTGGAGTGCCCTGTGAGAGATTCACAGATTGGTTTTAAAATGCAAAACCCCAGGGAACCAAACTTTTTCTTATGATATCAAACATGTTACTTAAACTGACTGAAAAAAAAAAAAGAAAAGAAAATAAGGATTAAGGGATTAAGTGCCTCTTCTTATGATATTTAAAATGTTATTTAAGCCCAGTGAAAAATAGAGGAAAATAAGGGTTAAATGCCTCTTCTTATGATATTAAAAATGTAAATTAAACCCACAAAAATATAAAAAATTAGGGACTTCTTATGATATTGGAATTGCTACTTAAAACCCACTAAAAAGAAAATAAGAAGGAAGATTTACACTTAAAACCAATTACAAAAAATAAGGATCAAGTACCTCTTCTTCTGATATTAAAAATGTTACAGAAACCCACTAAAAAGAAATCAATAATTCAGTTTTAACACTCCTTTTCAGTCAGCTTGATGGAAGTTAATCTGCTTTTTGTGGAGAGCAAATTATTTCAGTTGAGTTCTGCAAGATTTTGGTCGCAGATCCACAACTGGTGATGGGTTCCTGGATGAAACTTCAACTTTTGTTCATTTTGGGGGGATTAAGTCACACTTAACCATTACTTAAGTCTGGCCCGGGTCATTATTTTTGATTATTTTTTGGCAGTTTCTGCTTTGAGGCATTCCTAATGATATTCCCCCAGTAGTTTCCATTTGGCTTTAATAAGGAATTCATATTAATCATTAAAAGCAGGGGACGTGATCCTTCAAGATAATCAAATATTGACAGGTCAGAAATAGCTTTCTGCGCGGCCTCATTGATAGAGGTGATGTGACATAAATATTTATTTCTTTTCTGTCACTCAGGGTAAATGCCACCCATTGATTCAGCATTGATAGAGTGTCAGCAGTTCATAAGGAGCACGGCAGGGCTGCTGCTGCAGTCCTGCAGCCGGGGCTGCTCCTCTGCTCAGGGCAGGGAGCTGCTCGCCAGCCGGGCTTAACTGGCACTGGGGCTTCATGGGCACACAGCCACCCTGATCCCACCAGGATTCATGGGGAATTTGTTATTTATTTACAAAAAAACCCACCCTGATCCCACCAGGATTCATGGGGAATTCGGGTATTTATTGACAAAAAACCCACCCTGACCCCACCAGGATTCATGGGGAATTCGGGTGTTTATTGACAAAAAACCCACCCTGATTTCACCAGGATTCATTGGGAATTTGGTTATTTATTTACAAAAAAACCCCCCCTGGTTTCACCAGGATTAATTGGGAATTCAGGTGTTTATTTACAAAAAACCCCACCCTGATTTCACCAGGATTCATGGGGAATTCGGGTATTTATTTAAAAAAAACCACCCTGATTTCACCAGGATTCATGGGGAATTCGGGTGTTTATTGACAAAAAACCCGCCCTGATTTCACCAGGATTCATGGGGAATTCGGGTGTTCATTGACAAAAAACCCACCCTGATTTCATCAGGATTCATGGGGAATTTGGGTGTTTATTGACAAAAACCCACCCTGATCCCACCAGGATTCATGGGGAATTCGGGTGTTTATTGACAAAAACCCACCCCACAAAAAACCCCACCCTGATTTCACCAGGATTCATGGGGAATTCGGGTATTTATTTAAAAAAAACCACCCTGATTTCACCAGGATTAATTGGGAATTTGGGTCTTAATAATTCACCAAAAACCCACCCTGATTTCATCAGGATTAATTGGGAATTTGGCTCTTAAAAGCTGACAAAAACCCCACCCTGATTTTAGCAGAATTAATTGAGCATTTGCTCTTAATAATTTACATAATTTCCAAAAAACCCACCCTGGTTTCACTGGGATTAATTGGGAATTTGGCTTTTAATTTCCAAAAAACCCACCCTGGTTTCACTGGGATTAATTGGGAATTTGGCTTTTAATTTCCAAAAAACCCACCCTGGTTTCATCCCCAGCCGGTGGAGGGAGGGATGCTTTGTTTGCTGCTCCCTGCTTGCTTTCCCCTGGATTCCTGAATTTTCCAGCCCATCCAGTTGGGCTTTTGCAGGTTTAACACCCCCTGCTGTAAGAGACCCTTTTACGATGGAGAATCCAGTTTCCCAGTGGAATAAATAAATCACCCCGTGCCTTTGGCACCTTTATTTGAGCCAGTAAATCCCATTTTATCTCCCATCAGATGCAGATCCTGCCTCCAGCCCAGCATTCCTGCTTTTCCCTGGAGTTCTGGGTGCCCTTGGAGCCTCAGAGGATGGAGCTGCCCCTGTTTTTTAGGGAGGGATGTGGAGAAAATATTCCCTTTTCCCATGGGCAGCAAGCAGGGGGACAGGGGCTGTGCTTGGTGTCTCCGGTTCTGCTCAATTCCTGCTTCATGACTTGAGGAACCTCCAAAAAATCTTCTCTTTTCCCCCAGCAGGATGCAAAAATACAAATTTCGTGTTGGTTTTGTGGGTTCACTGGGTTTCCTTCGGGGTGGTGGGTTCAGGAGGAGGTTTTTGGGAATGCAGGAGGTGTTTCCTCCAAGGATGGAGGATTCAGGGCCTCAAGCTTGGAGGAGCAAAACTCCTTAAATTTCCCAAGTCTGCAGCCAGGGAGAAATTGGTTTTGTTTTAGGGATCCACTGCAGACTCTTTACATCTTTTAAATCCCATTTAACAACTTCCTCCCTTTCTGTTTGCATTTCCTGATGAGTGCAACAAGCAAAGGAGCTTTCAGTAATGAAGTAAATGGTAATTTTAATCACAAATGGGCCCTCCTAAGGAATCTGGCCCAGCTTTAATCACAAATAAATAATAAAATCATCACCTTCTCTTTTGAGTTGCCTCAGCTCAGGTTTTCCCATGCCTGTGTAGCAATTCCAGTGAGAAACCACATTTTTTTGCTCAGGTAGTGAAAGGAAAAAACATCAATTTTGGATTAATCATTTCTGTCCTCGCAACTTCTTTTAAATCAATAAAATATTTCATTTTCTGGTCATTAGAAATGCTGAGTATTGACTCTTTGGGACATTTGGGCTTGTTATCATCACTTGTGTTAATACACAAAAATGACACCTTTAAGCAGCCAGGCCAAGCCATGTGAAATATTTAACTTGGTGTCCCATAAAATACAAGTAATTACTGAAAATGAGTTCAGGTTTCCTAGGAAAATACCTTTTCAAAGCAGGATTTGCCCAAACGTTTTCTACTTAAAATGCTCAGGCAGTGGGGGAATCTTTCTGGAAAAGAAGATTGCTTTTAACCCAGAAATAATTCTGTTCAGAATATTTATTTTCAAGTATAAATATGCATTGCAAAAATGTCTTTAATGGGATTTTTAAATTTGTGCAAAATTAGAGTAACTCTGCTCGTCCAGGAGAAGGTTGAGCTCTGGTTTTGGATGTCAGTTGCTTCTCAGGCAATATGTTAAGCTGTTGTAAAATCCATATAAAAAAGGTGCCAAATTCAGGAATTTGTGCAGTGCTTTGCATCTGAGTTGTCCCAGCGAGCAGAAAAAACTGAGGCAAAGAAATTGCTGTGGATTTCAAGGAAAATCACTTGGATTGGGATTGCAGACTGATTTTTCTTTAGGTAAAAGAGTCTGAGCTGAGCTGTGCCTCTCGCCGAGGCTCAGCCCTGCTGATTCCAGAATAAATCCCAAACTTCTGCAGCTGCCAGGCTCGTTCCCATTCACCTCCAACTTTGGCTCTGCTGATGTGCTGCTCTGGAGCCCCTTTTCCTCTCAGCAGCAGTGCCCTGACCCTCTTGAGCTATGTTATATCATTCCATTTTGACACCTTTTATCAAACTTTAATGAAATGACCCAGGCAAACAAATTGTCATTAAACTTTCCATCACTTTGTCCCTTGGTATCGTCTTTTATAAATTGGACAGCAAATGTTGTATTGATCTTCTCGTTCTTGCAGCTGAACTTGAAATGACCCAGACTGCTTGTTGTTTATGGCCTGGAGTTGCTTTTCCTTGACATTTCCATCCCCAGCATGACATCTCTTTTGTTTTTCTTTCTTTCTTGTGGAGATGAATGAACAAGACATTCGATACCGAGACATCCTCGGCCACGGCAACGGCGGCACCGTCTACAAGTGAGTGGGGGTTTCACCTCAAATCTGCCCCAAAATTCAAATTTCACAGCGTTTTTGCTTTCTGCATTTTGTGGTGTAGGTGCGTCTTGCTGCTCTGCAGGAAAAAAAAGTCATCATGGAAACTTTTAAACCGTTCTGGCCATTTTGACACCTTTTATCAAACTTTAATGAAATGACCCAGGCAAACAAATTGTCATTAAACTTTCCATCACTTTGTCCCTTGGTATCGTCTTTTATAAATTGGACAGCAAATGTTGTATTGATCTTCTCGTTCTTGCAGCTGAACTTGAAATGACCCAGACTGCTTGTTGTTTATGGCCTGGAGTTGCTTTTCCTTGACATTTCCATCCCCAGCATGACATCTCTTTTGTTTTTCTTTCTTTCTTGTGGAGATGAATGAACAAGACATTCGATACCGAGACATCCTCGGCCACGGCAACGGCGGCACCGTCTACAAGTGAGTGGGGGTTTCACCTCAAATCTGCCCCAAAATTCAAATTTCACAGCGTTTTTGCTTTCTGCATTTTGTGGTGTAGGTGCGGCTTGCTGCTCTGCAGGAAAAAAAAAGTCATCGTGGAAACTTTTAAACCATTTTGAGGTGTTTAATTCTGATTTTAACGCGGCTTTGAATCTTTTCTGGGAGCAAGTTGAGGGTTCACAAGCGGGATCTGGGATGTCCTGGATTGGCCTCCAGGATTTGGAATTCTGCTGCCTCACCTGGGCATGACAGCAGTGGGATGTGGTGGCACCAGTGCCCTGCCCTGCAGCATCCCTCACCCCCTTTGGCTGCTCTCCCTTCCAGCCTGACCAACTCCCCCAGATTTTGGTGCAGAAGCTCTGGCTCAGATTAATTTTAACCAAATTTTGGTGCAGAAGCTCTGGCTCAGATTAATTTTAACCAAATTTTGGTGCAGAAGCTCTGGCTCGGATTAATTTTCACCAGATTTTGGTGCAGAAGTTCCAGCCCTGCAGCCAGGATTAATTTTAATATTGTAAAAATTAAAATAGCACAGATAAGACTTTCCTGTTGAGAAAACTCCTGCTTATGCATTGTGCAAAGTTTAAACTGCAGAATGTAATATCTGGGACTTAATAGTCTGCAGTGGGGTATGAAAAATATTCCTGTGGGAATTAAGAAATCCATACTTTGTCAGAAAGCCCTGAGGGAGTAATAAAGGTTTCCTCCAGAGAGCTGTTTACCATATACAGTAACCCAGCATCCCATTAGGGTTTTGTTTATACCTTAGACACTTTAACTTTGATATTAACATTTTTTCTCCCCCCTAAAATGCTTTAAAAGCCACGGTGCATTTAGTTTGGTTTCTAATTGGCTGCCAGCATTGCAAAACAACTCCTCCTGGCAGAAGGTTGGATGGAAATGGACTTCCAGAGCCTCCAAGGAGGAAATGCAGCCTTGGGATGGACTCCTGAAATCAGGTTGGCCCTGGGGGTGGAAGGTGCTTCAGAGATTTTTTGGAGAAGGATGTTCCTAGGACTTGAGGAAATGGTGTTATTTTCTGATTTTATTGGAGATACGAGAGAGAGTGTTGAGCTTTAGAGCTCAGAGTTGTTGGTGTTGGGTGGAGAGGCAGAGAAGGTTCTTCAGGGAGTTGGGGTAAAAGCTGGATGTTCCTGTGTGACACCATCCTGTGCTCCTGAGGCTGCAGAATTGGGATGGCAGCCCTGGGTGACACCATCCTGTGCTCCTGAGGCTGTGGAGTTGGGATGGCAGCCCTGGGTGACACCATCCTGTGCTCCTGAGGCTGTGGAGTTGGGATGGCAGCCCTGGGTGACACCATCCTGTGTTCCTGAGGCTGTGGAGTTGGGATGGCAGCCCTGGGTGACACCATCCTGTGCTCCTGAGGCTGTGGAGTTGGGATGGCAGCCCTGGGTGACACCATCCTGTGCTCCTGAGGCTGTGCAGCTGGGATCCCCTGCCTGGAGTGGGGACTGTGACAATTCCCTGCCCTCTGGGACAGGGACAGTCCCACCTGGAGGGGCAGGAGCCCCTCCTGTCAGGGAGGTGTTTCTGTGGCTCGTGTTCCTTTTTATCCCCTCGTTATTTGGAGTCAGCAGCTGCAGGGACTCTGGGGTGTCTCCAGGGCAGGAGTGACTCCAGCCTTTCCCAGGGCATGGGCACTGGTTTGTGTGTGATATTTTACAGATTATCATGGAATCCTCCAATGGTTTGGGCTGGAAGGGAGCTCAATTTATCTCAGGGACACTTCCACCATCCCAGGCTGCTCCAAACCCCTCCAGCCTGGCCTTGGACACTCCAGGGATCCAGGGCAGCCCCAGCTGCTCTGGGAGTTCCAGCCCAGCCAAAAATTCCTTCCCAATATCCATCTAAACCTCCCCTTTCCCACTCTGAAGCCATTCCCTGTGTCCTGTCCCTCCATCCCTGTCCCAGTCCCTCCCCAGCTCTCCTGGAGCCCTTCAGGGGCTCTGAGCTCTCCCTGGATCCTTCCCTTCTCCAGGGGAGCATTCCCAGCTCTCCCAGCCTGGCTCCAGCCCCATGGCAAAACCACTCAATCCCCCCTTCCCAAAAAGTTCCCAATCCTCCCTCTCTGGCAGAGCCCCCGTGCCCCAGCAGGAGATCAGGGATTCCCACTGGAGCCCTGGCAGGTAGCTGCCCTGCCCCAGCCACGGAGAGCAGCCAGAGCTATTTTATTCCAGTAAATCAATGAGCATTTGTCAGGTGGAATGAATTGCAGAGGTTGGGCAGTTTCCCTCTCCGGCGTGGGGCTGTTGGCTCGGGGAGCAGAGGCCGTGCGGGATCGATCTCAGCTCAGCAGCCCGCCTGTCTGCGCCCTTCCTTTTATCTTTTTGTTATCCCTACCTTGTATTTTTATTCTTTTTTCGTTCCCCCTCTCCTCCCTGAGCTCTTTATCCTGACTCCTGTCCATTGTGGCAGTGAAATATTCCCGGTGTTGGGGGGACACGACGGCGCGTCGCACGAGGCTGAGCAAAAATCTCCCAGCCTCTCTTTTTTCCACAAAAAAAACCTCTTTTATTGGAATTGTTTATTGAGATTGAAGTATTGATCACCCCTCCTGCTCCCCCCAGCTGGAGGTGGGCTGGTTCTCTTTGGAAGCCTATGTTTAGTTAGAAAACACGGGATTTTTTTAGTTAGAAAATGGATTTCATTTATTTGGGTTCTTTACAGCTGCGAGTGGTTTATGGCTTGGAGAAGAGGTATCTTAGCTTTATTTTTATGACAGTATAATTATACTTTAGAAATACACTTGATTACTGTGTGGAGCAAAATTGTTCCACTATATTGGCTCGGCCAATATTGCTATACAAACAACTTTTCAGTCAATTGAGCCTGGTGAAAAATCAATACTTTATAGCCATATTTCTAGGGAGAACTTGCTGAATCTAAATGTTTTTCCTGTTCTAAAAGGAAGGGATTTTATAGTTCTTTGACATCTTATTCTCCCCTACCTTTTGATCCGCTGTTTGCTTAATTAAGGAACGATAAAAATTCTCGTGTTAGATATGGCAAAACCAGTTAATTAGCTTTGCTTTTTGGTTGCTTGCATGTTCAAAAATATGTGAGAAAACAGAAAACAAGCCCAAGCTGCCTATTGAACGCTGCAGCAGAAAGCAGGAATTCTTGCAGTGCTGCTCAGAGCACAGAGTGTGCCCTGTTTTGGGTAAAGATTGTCCAAAAAAGGGGAAAATCTGCTGCTGCAAAGCCCCTGAGTGTGCTGCTCTCCTGTGTGCCAGGGGCTGTGTTTGTGTCACCTGCTCTGATTGCCACTGCCCGTGGAGTATTTAAGTCAAATTTAGTGCATTTTTTGGAGCTCAGCTGCCCATGCAATCTCTGCATTTGCTTAAATTGCTTCTTTGGGGTTTTTTTAACAAATAATTCAGTGGTCAGCCCAAAAGACATTTAGAGGATCTGCTTTGTGCTGCATCTTTGGGCTCCATCAGTGCCTGCAGAGACTCCTCTGAGATCTTTCCTTAGGTGAAGGATTTCCTTTGGAATGTCTGGATGTGCCAGCCAGTCCCAGGAGCAGCTTCATGAAATTATTTAGACCTCAGCTCCTTAGTTTTGTATATTTTGAACCTAAATATTACAAAGTAGGAGTGTTTATCTCTGGCAGGTAATTCCTGTGTCAGGTCTTCCTCAAACAATGTGTCTAAAGCATCACTGTTTCCTTTATACAGAAGTAAAATGAGGGGTTTATCCTCATTTTATTCTCATTTTGTGTTCTTTAGTTTTTGTTTTTCAAGGAGAAAGGAGATGTCCTAAACTCTGTTTAGGGCAGGGCACAGCCTCCTGGGATTTATTTCACAGTGAGGTTTTGCAGCTCCATGGGTTCTGTTGGAGTCTCCAGCAGCAGGAGCATAAAGGAAAAATAACCATAAAGCCCCAATGATGCCCTAATTAATTCGGGAGTTACCAGGATCTGGGAGAGAGGGAAGGAATGGGAACATCAGTTCCCATCTTAGCAAAATGCTGTGAGAGCAGAAGGCTTCACTTGGATGTTGAGTAATTGGGAGAGAAGTGGCTGTGGCTGATGTCCCACGCCGAAAAATTGGATAGCCTGGGAAGCAGGGAGAAATGAGGGAGCTTAATTTGTCTGAGCAATTTCCTGAGCAATTCTGCAGTTTGGTTGAACATTCCAGCATCTGCCCTTCCCCTCGTTCCCTCTCCCAGCCAGCCTTGGGGTGCCCCATCAGCACATGAAATGGAAAGTGTGGGAGACAGCTGGGACTGCTCCAGAGCCTGGGATCCATCCTGGGACCAAGCTGGGATCCTCTGGCAGCCTGGAGCAGGTGATGCCTCAGGTGTAGATTTTCTGTATTTCAGGTTCTGAGCTGCTTTAGTGTGCAGTGCTGAGCTCCACATGAAGTGTTGGTGAGCTGTGCACAGAGCAGGGAGACAAAACAATTCCTGCTCCAGCTGGGCACCAAGGACAGAAGATCCAAATCTCAGCCCAGGAGCACAAAGCCCGTGGAATGAAGAGAGGAAAACAAGGATGGGACTG